TACAATCGAAATTTTAAGAAATACTGCAATTCGATTGGCTGACCAGTAAAATCAATTTGCATATATCCAATTTACATATTGGTCAGCCAATCGAATTGCAGTATTTCTTAAAATTTCGATTGTATCTTAGTTTAAGTTTTCGTGAATAAGGGCCCAGGAGAGCAATACGATTTCATGTCCATGAATACAAATGAGGTCTAACATCCTACTTTTCTGCACCTACCGGGATAATTACCAGGATAGCAATCAAATTCTTACTACCAAAGATTCTTTTACGTGCACGCCAAAGTGTACACGGGATTGTGGCGACGAGTCCAACCTGTACCACTGACTAGGTGAAAGTAATTCCAGAAAAGAGCAACAACGGGAACGAAATGAAATGAAATGGGGTTTAACGTGCTACTGTTCTGCTCCGAACTGGGCTAATGAAGATGGGCATACGCCATACAGTGTGTTATGAGGGAAATTTTGTCTGGTCAGCGGCACTACGGCCTACTCTTATATCGAATTCCAACTGTCAAGGGATCTTTTACGTGCATGCCAATGTGTACACGGGACCTCGGTTTTTCGTACCATCCGAACGACTAGACAGCTTTCCTTGTCAGCCCCTCCGTCATGCATCACTGCCAAGGGGGATCCACGCCGGAAAATCTGAATGAACTTTCTCGGCCAATGCTAGCGAGCCAGCGTCTTGCCTACTTGCATCGCCGATATCTAGGTTCAGAGTGGAGTAATTTGACTGAAATTTTCAGCATATTTTCTTTCATTGTATTTTTCAGTTTTAACTATTAGAGTGCAATAAAATAATTTAAAGATACATTATGTGAGATTAGATAAAGAGTTGGCAGTTCTCATTATAATAGTTAAAAACTAGATAATGTAAAGACAATTTGCTGAAAATTTCAGTCAAATTGATCCACTCTGAACCAAGATTTTAGCGCTTGAATTTTCGGCCTAGCCTCGATCATCATTACTAAAGTCGGTACGATAAAAATATAGTCTCGATTATCCATTTAATCATTAAATTAAGAATAAAAGTGGAGCAGCAAATGGTGTCCTAATCCAATAAACATCGCAGGCTAGCGTTGACATCGAGAGTTGATTATGGTCTGGATACGTTAATTAATGTCTAATTAATAATTTAGATAACTTTTCAGTCCTAAAGAAAGAGTAGGGTCGCCTGTCCAACCTCGTGGGTTTTCTCCGGGGCCCCCGGTTTCCTCCCACTGCTAAAGACCCCTACGCACAAGCGAATTATGTAAATAAAATTAAACCACATGTTAGTCCCGAAATGACCTAGTTTGTGTCGAGTGGACGTTAAACCCCATTTCTCTCTCTCTCCCTAAAGAAAGACCTGCAATAGGCAGATTTAGCTCTTGCATAATGTATATTTAAGTTGCTAGGTGAGTATCAATGGACCTGACACGTCACATATCTAGTCTTGTGTTTAGAATTTCTGTTCGATATTTTAACATCGTTGGTTTATTATAGGGTATTGATCCCGTGTGTATATAATAAGCTCTATTGATTTGTTTTTTTTCTATTTGAAAACTAACACTTGTTTGATATATAATTGTAGGCCTACATTCTATATTAATAACCACTTCAATGCGTTTACATAACATACTAATTTTGATGCTTATATAACGGTTAAATAGTTAGCACGTGCGTGCTGTATCACAAAGTTTGTCATTGAGTCAACTGGCGTGGTTTCGAATCCCCGGTTGTACGTGACAAGGAGTAAGGTCGCCTGTCCAACCTCGTGGGTTTTTTCCACGTTAAACCCCATTAAATAAATAAATAAACCAGCGGCTGCCAGGCAGGATACACCCTCATTTTGAAGGAGATGGATAGAGAACACGCTAAAAACAAAAGGCGATTTTTTGTAAAATCAGGGGCAATAATCCAGAAAGTTATGGTCTGAAATGCGCAAATATCAAAAGGGACTGAGTTCTTTGGGATATAAAGATATGTTTTAAGTTTTATCAAAATCGGATAAAAATTGTGACCTCTAGAGGGCCCACAACCTTCGTATTACATACTTTTACACAATTTGCGTACACAGAGCGACAATTTTGTTGGGCAGTTTCATTTCAATTTTCCCGAAATTTGAATTCAACCTTCATTATGGTGGAATGGCGATATATTTAAACGGTTTTTAAAATCAGAAAAAAATTGTGACCTCTAGAGAATCTGCAAGCTAAAAATGCGATTTTTCGAACAATCAAGGGCCATAATCCAGGAAGTTACGTTCTGATATGCGCGATTATCCAAAGGAACCAAGATCTTAGTTGGTGTGTATCGGTGATATATTGACGCGTTTTTTTTTAAATCGGATAAAAATTGTGACCTCTAATAATTGCGATTATCAAAAGGAACCAAGATCTTAGTGGTGTGTAACGGTGATATATTGACACGTTTTTTTTTTAATAGGATAAAAATTGTGACCTCTAAATTTTGTACAATCAAGGGCCATGATTCAGGAAGTTACGATCCGATATGCGCAAATTTCAAAAGGAACCAAGATCTTTGAGTTATAAACATGCATTTCAAGTTTCATCAAAATCGGTCAAAATTGGGAACCTCTAGAGGGTACACAACCTTGATAGGCCTGGAGTTCACAAAGCATTCTCAGACTTAAGTTAAGAATTTACTCAAAATTGTTTGCCTTATTTTAAACATGCATTATGCAAGAGCTAAATCTGATTATTGCAAGTCTTAAGTTAGGCTTCAGATGTTATAGAAATTATAAATTAGATCTTTATTTAAACAACGGATGGCTCGGCTACAGCTCGGATTTAAATAGGATTTCACTAATTGATTAAATTATATAAAGGGTAACCTGATGAAAATACGCCAGTTAGATCGAGGCTAAATGATAGAGTGTACTTAGCGAGGCCGCTGTAAAGCGTTTCCGTATGCCATTGAAAACTTTACTTGATAATCGAGGTATGTTGGTGGAGTCAACGCCTGTCAATCAAACGATCAGCGAAGGTGAAGACACATTATGCTACCATTTCTAGGCAAATATTACAACGATGATAACTATGTTCAGAATAAAGTAATTTGACTGAAATTTTCAATATATTCTTCTTTCATCATCTACTTTTGAACTGTTATAGCAAGAATGGCCAACTACCATAAAAATCTCCCATAATGTATCTTTAACTAAAATATAGCCCTTTATAAAACGATTGTTGTTTTAATGTATCAAATACATCAATAAGAAACTATGTGCAAAGTTTTGTGTACCTGGGTCAAAGATATTGCTCATAAACAATGATTAAAAGTTGAGTAAATTCTGAACTTAAGTCTGAGAATGCTTTGTGAACTTGGAAACGGATGTTTACACTATTTGAGTAGAGGGGCGGCCATTTTGTCTGGCAGTTTTCGTCCGATTTTCACAAAATTCGAACTCAACCAAAATTACGGGGTAACGGTGATATACTCGAACAATTTTTTAAATCAGATAATAATTGTGACCTCTAGAGGAACCTCAAGCTAAAAACGCGATTTTTCGTACAATCAGGGGCAATAATTCGGGAAGTTACGATCCGATATGCGCAAATATCGAAAGGAATCATATCAAGATCTTTGGGTTATAAACATGCATTTCAAGTTTCAACAAAATCAGATCAAAATTGTGACCTCTAGAGTGTCCAGATTCTAGAAACGTGATTTCTCGTACAATCAGGGGCCATAATCCATGAAGTTATGGTCCGATATATGCCAATATCGTAAGAAAACCGAGATCTTTGGGAGAGACCTATATTTTAAGTTTCGTCAAAATCGAATAAAAATTGCAATTTTTGTATTGTCCGACCTACCGCCCAAGCTATCCAAATACTGGCGGCTACATCTTAAGTAGTATTGAGGCACTGATACCAGTAACTTTCATTTATTTTCCTGTCTGCGAGCGAATGTTTTTCTTTTTCAATCTCTTTCCTTAATATTTGGCAACTCGTCGCCATCTGATGCCGTTGCAATAACGCGCATACGAGTGCTTTTGTTTTAGAAATATATGGGCAATTATAAATCGCTTACAAATTTCCAAAGATCATCTGTGTGCATTTTGCTTTCAATAAATTATTAGAGTGTAGACACCACTTCAATAAACCAGAATTGTGCCCATGTGAGGCTGCATGTGTTTTTGCTCTGTGATTCTTCTTGTTATTTATATGTGTATGGATTTAGTGAACGTGTAGTTTTTTGCACACACTTTGGTGGTGTAATTATATGAATTCTGAATTTGGACAAATATTTGTGTTTAACTGTGATACAAACTTTTTATCAAAATTCTTAACTTATATTTATATTTTCACAATCTAATTAAAATATAGATCTATATTTCGTTTCGTTTTTTATACTTTCGATGGCCTACACTACATATAGATCTAACAAGTTATAGTGGGAGTTCACGTTCTATGACGTCAGATACCAAACAAGCGACATATTACCCGATAACGTCAGTCATTCGATTAACCAATTAGCGACCGCCATGTATTTTTATGTACTTTTGCTTTGTTTTGATTTCTATTGCTGCTAATGTCTACCCACAGTTCCGCGCAAAAAAAGGTCAAACGCTCGATTCGACAGACCATTTGATTGGCTGACCCCTCATTTCAAGCAGAACACGAGTTAAATAACAACGCTTCCAGATCCAAGTGTAGTAAAGACAAGTAAAACGAAATTTTGAACTATAAAAACGAAACGAAATAGGATCTGTGTTTTAACCAGACTGACATTTCAATTTTGGTTCAGTAATTTGACAATTTACATGTATTTTTATTCTTATGTATTGTATCTTTTTTAAGTTTGTAAAGGGCATCTGGGCACTTAGGTGAAAGATGTGCTATATAAATACACCATAATAATAATAATAATAATAATAATATCGTATAATTTGAAATAAAATAATTAAAAACATTAACAATAAAACTTTATCACATACTAAAAATCTTATACATATACATTTAAACAATCTTTGTATTTAACGTGGATGGTTGGATGGTCTAGTGGTTTAACAGGTGCGCGAGAAAGGTCTGGTATTTCACTCTCTCTGTAATTCATGTTTTTCCACATCATCTATAAAGAGACAAAAACAAAACAGCATTAAAGATACATTATGGGAGATTGGATAAAGAGCTGGCAGTTCTCACTATAATAGGGTCGCCTGTCCAACCTCGTGGGTTTTCTCCGGGTCCTCCGGTTTCCTCGCACTGCTAAAGACCCCTACGCGCAAGCGAATTATTGAAATAAAAAACTGAACCATATGTTAGTCCTGAAATGACCTAGTTTGTGTCGAGTGGAATTCAACCTCCTTTCTCTCTATAGGTTAATAAAGCAATAATTAACAATTAGTCTATTATCTTCAGTACAACTGGTTATTCTTCACCAGATTATTGTTTGATATATTTCACTCATTAGTGTAAAACTGTACCGGTTACCACCGTTTTGATAATTGCAATTAACTGCTCATTTACGATTAATACCAATCTTTACAGACATACTTCAATGAGTTTCATAACATTTTTCTTACAATTTTTTTCAATGCGTGTTGTAAATAAAATTTTAACAAGCCAAGCCGAATAACCAAAATAAATAGATGACACATTAATTAATCGCACATTTATTTTTTATACGCCCACATTTTCATGTGGACGTATATTTTCAAAAGTATCAAGCAATCAAACTGATTATCAACTATACTCTAAGTTTGATCACTCTCTATCAGATAGAATTTAATTTATCTTCTCGCAAAGCATCGACCAATGAAATTTCTTAGCTCTGTTTAGCTTTAGCTCGAAATGTTAATTATTGAACTCAGTCAAGACATTCACCTAATGAACATCTATATCAAGTTTAAACATTCTACCTTAATCAAAAGCAGAGTTGTTATGTTCCAAAGTCTTGACCAATCAAATTTCTTATCGCGCCTTTGCCTAAGCAAAAAAATTCTCATCATCGAACTTAGTCAAAGTAATAATATAATGAATATAATCTCAGAGTTTAATTAAAACCAAAGTTATCGTGCCCCAAAGCATCAACCAATCAAACTGCTTATCTCTGCTTACCGTAAGCAGACAATGTTTATCATCGAACTCCATCAAGACACTCACCTAATGAACGCCTACACCAACCAAGTTTGAACATTCTACCTCAATTAGAAGGAGAGTTATTGTGTTCCAAAGTATCGACCAATCAAATTGCTTATCGTTTTTCTTACCCTGAGCAGAAAATGCTCACTATCGAACTTAGTCAAGGTATTGATGTGATAAAACTATACACCAAGCGTCCTCACTCTCACTTAATTAGAACTAATGTTATCGTGTCCCAAAGCATCAACCAATCAAACTGCTTATCTCTGCTTACCCTCAGCGGAAAATTCTCATCTTCAAACTCCATCAAGGCATTCACCTAATAAACACCTAAGCCAAGTGTGAACATTCTAGATCAATTAGAATGAGAGTTATTATGTTCCAAAGTCTCGACCAATCAAATTGCTTATCGCTCCGCTTACCCTGAGCAGAAAATGCTCATTATCGAATTTAGTCCAGGTATACACCAAATTTCATCACTCTCATTTAATTAGAACTAAAGTTATCATGTCCCAACGCATCAACCAATCAAATTGCTTATCTCTGCTTACCCTAAGCAGAAAATGCTCACCTTCGAACTCCATCAAGGCATTGACCTAATAAACACATACACCAAGTTTGAACATGCTTCCTCAATTAGAAGGAGAGTTATTGTGTTCCAAAGTATCGGCCAATCAAATTGCTTATCGCTCTGCTTACCCCGAACAGAAAATGCTCATTATCGAACTTAGTCAAGGTATTGATGAAGTGAAACTCTACACCAAGTTTCATCACTCTCACTTAATTAGAACTAAAGTTATTGTGTCCAAAAGCATCAACCAATCAAATTGCTTATCTCTGCTTACCCTAAGCAGAAAATGCCCATCTTTGAACTCCATCAAGGCATTGGCCTAATAAACACCCACACCAAGTTTCAACATTCTAGCGCAATTAGAAGGAGAGTTATTGTGTCCCAAAAAGTGTGACGGACAGACGGACGGACAGAGAGACAGACGAACCCATTTTAATAGTCCCCTGCTTTCTTCGAAGTGATTGACAGAGAATAGGCTAAAAAAGCAATTTTTCGCACAATCCGGGCCACAATACAGAAACTTACGGTCCGATATATGCCAATATCGAAAGAAAGAGAGATCTTTGGGATATAATCCTATATTTCAAGTTTCGTAAATTCCAAATTTCGGAAAAGGGCGTAGTGGTGCATGACGGAGAGCCTGACAAGAACAGCTGTCTAGTCGTTCGGATGGGACCAAAACTGAGGTCCCGTGTACACATTGGCGTGCACGTAAAAGATCCCTTGACAGTTGAAATTTTAAATAAGAGTAGGCCGTAGTGCCACTGTCCGGGCAAAATGTCTCTTATATCACACTGTATGGCTTATGCCCGTCTTCATTAGCCCAGTCTGAGTAGAACAGTAGGAAGTTAAACCCCATTTGATTTCATTTTATTTCATTTCCTATTCACACAACCTGAATAAAATTAAAAATTGACAGTACACCACTGCTTGCTTCATATCGACTACATATGCCTTGTGGAAAAGTCACTGTGTCATTGTGACCTGTGTATTCCAATTCAATAACTTAAAGGGCAATTTTGGTGTCAGTCATTATCACATATGTGATAGAACTGGTTAAACACATTCCAAATATAATTTTAACACAGAGATCATTGCTACGGTAGATGCGTTATGAAGCGTTCAAGAAAGGGAAGTGACGAACGCAAAAGGAAAACACGTGTTATCCTTTTATATAACTAATTGAAGTGACGAATGATAAAAGCATATTCTAACAAGCGGTTGCCATGCAAGATACGCCCACATTTTGCAAGAGATGGACAGAGTACAATCAAGGAATTCAGGAAGTTACGATCCGATATGCATGAATATTGACAGGAACCAAGATCTTTGGGTTATAAACATGTATTTCAAGTTTCATCAAAATCGGATCAAAATTGTGTCCTCTCTCTAGAGGGTCCAAAACCTTGATAAGGAATCATTAGTGAGCAGAAATTCGCCAGTGTATCTGTTATCACTCGTCACTTCAGTTAGTTATATAGAAGGATAACACGTGTTTTCCTTTTGCGTTCGTCACTTGCGTTGTTGAAACCTTTATTACGCATCTATCGTAGCAATGATCTCTGTGTTAAAATTCTATTTGGAACGTATTTAACCAGTTCTATCACATATGTGATAATGACGGACACCAAAATTGTCCTTTAAAGTCGCTGATCATCATAGTTCTTTTGAACAAACTAATGGGACACCAATATTGTCCTTTAATGCTATTGAAACAATAGATAAGGTGTATCATACCTGGCATGCATTGGACTAGACATTGGACTTAACTGGATAGGATGCGGTATAGACCTGTAAAAAAAATATCAAAAAATACTGCATTGTATTATTAGCTTTCATTTCCAAAACGAGAGAGAGAGAGAGAGAGAGAGATGGGGTTTAACGTCCACTCGACACATACTAGGTCATTTCGGGACTAACATATGGTTCAATTTTATTTCAATAATTCGCTTGCGCGTAAGGGTCTTTAGCAGTGGGAGGAAATCGGAGGACCCAGAGAAAACCCACGAGGTTGGACAGGCGACCCTACTTCTTGTCAATACAACCGGGGAATCGAAACCCACGCCAGTTAACTCAATGACAGACCTTATGATACAGCGTACACATGCTAACCATTCGGCCATCCAACCAGCCTTTTTCCAAAACGAATGTAAAACAAGACTCTCAAAGATGCCGTTTCTGCTATATATAATAGTTCAGAAATAGATAACGAATAAAATGAACATATTAAAAATTTCATTCAAATTACTTCATTCTTGGCGAAGTTATGGCTGTGTGAAGTTTAGAGTGTTTATAATGGGCTTGAGCAGCTTGATATATGAATAAATATCTAAATAATAATTTGAAGCCAGAAGAGAGAGAGAAATGGGATTTAACGTCCACTCGACACAAACAAGGTCATTTTGGGACTAACACATGGTTCAATTTTATTTCAATAATTAGCTTGCGCGTAGGGAACTTTAGCAGTGGGAGGAAACCGGGAGACCAGGAGAAAATCCACGAGGTTGGACGAAGCCAGAAGAATAACCTGCAATAGGCAGATTTATCTCTTACATAATGCATCTTTAATTGCTGATATTAAAGATACATTATGGGAGATTAGAAAAACGAAATGAAATGGAGTTTAACGTCCTACTGTTCTGCTCCTAACCTGGGCTAATGAAGACGGGCATACGCCATACAGTGTGCTATGAGGGAAATTTTGCCCGGACAGCGGCACTACGGCCTACTCTTATATCGAATTCCAACTGCCAAGGGATCTTTTACGTGCACGCCAATGTGTACACGGGACCTCGGTTTTTCGTCCCATCCGAACGACTAGACAGCTTTCCTTTTCAGCCCCTCCGGCCTGCATCACTGACAAGGGAGAACCACGCCGGAAAATCTGGATGAACTTTCTCGGCCAATGCAGGGATCGAACACCCGACCTCCAGGCTAGCGAGCTAGCGTCTTACCCACTCAGCCACGTGAATGGGAGATTAGATAAAGAGCTGGCAGTTCTCACTATAATAGTTACAAACTAGATAATGTAAAGGGAATTTGCTGAAAATTTCAGTCAAATTGATCTACTCTTAACCGAGATTTTAGCGAGTGAATTTTCGGCCTATCCTCGATCATCATTAATAAAGTCGGTACGATAAAAAAAAAACATAGTCTCGATTATCCATTTCATGACTAAATCATGAATGGAAATCGAACAGCAAATCCAAGAAACATCGCAGGCTAGTGATGCCATCGAGAATTGATTATGGTCTGGATAAGTTAATTAATGTCTAATTAATAATTTAGATAACATTTCAGGCCTAAAGAAAGACCTACAATTGGCAGATTTTGATCTTGCATAATGTATGTTTAATCATCCATTGGTATTCAATTAGTGTGACTTGTCCCTGCATGTAAGGACGGGGGGGGGGGGGGGGGTAGCGGATGGCCGAATGGTTAGCACTGTATCATAAGGTCTGTCATTGAGTTAACTGGCGTGACAAGGAGTAGGATCGCCTGTCCAACCTCGTGGGTTATAACCGGGCTTCTCTGGTTTCTTTCCACTGCTAAAGACCCCTATGCGCAAGCGAATTATTGAAACAAAATTGAACCATATGTTAGTCCCGAAATATCTTAGTTTGTGTCGAGCCCCATTTTTCTTTCTCCCTGCATGCAGCCTGTAAGTTTATACTACAGTTACGTCGGGCTCTATAGTGTAAAGCCTATATAATAATGGGAAATAAGGAATGTGAAATAAGCCATTGAAAATAGGGCCCACTAAGTAAGGTACTTAAAATTAATTTAAAGTAATTTATATAATAATTTAATATACGGCATTGGAAATAAGGTCCATTAAATAAATTTAAAGTTATTTATACCATATGCTATCATACATTATACGTATTGACTTTACTAATGAAGGGAAATCATTAAGCATCGAATGATTGCAAATCAGTCCACACTAACTCCATCCCTTGTTTCTATTGGCAACTATAGCGTATTAGAACCTCTATTACCCACGCCAACAACGTGTCATTACTATCATTAAGTTTATCTATTTTGATGTGTTTTCAATAACAAATAGCAAGTTGAAAAATCACAATGTCAGTTCTGAAGTTCTGACCTGTTAAGTATCAAACAGTGCAAGTCGTCGATCTATAGTTTGGAAAAAGCATGATCGAATGAATATAATTAATATATTACATGTTAGTTTTTACTTAATTAAGAGTACTCTGTAATCAATACAATTGGACTTAAGAGCTCGACAATAACTGAAAGGAAGATAATTTACATATATATTGATTCATACCTTCAATACTGATCTTTCTAATTGCAACAAGACCAAAAACATTTTCCAAAAATATTTTTCAAAATTAAAACAGTCGACATGTGCCAAGGTTATAGATTGCACAAAAATCGATAATCTTCATGAATAATAGCTATAAAAGGCAAGCCTAAAATACATGACAAAAAAGTGATAATTCTTATAATTTTCCAAAAATCAAATTAAACCGATGGACGCGTGAAACAGATCGATTTAAATAAATCAATGGTCTTCATTATAACTGAAATGATTTACCGTGGTGTTTGTTGTGGATTCATTTGTGTATTAGTTGGGGTACCATTCATTAATCCTACAATGACAAATTACATCTATTGATTTGTTTAAAAATAATTACTTTCGAGATAAAAATCAAATGCGCAAAACTCTTTTACTGATTAAAAAAAATAACAAATACCTAAAAAAATAAAAACACACAAAAAAACAATCAACGTTTAAATAATTAAGATAATCAAAACTAATCTTAAAAGGTTGACATTTGATTTATTTTTAAGTGGGGTTAACTCCGTGAGTAAATCGCTGGGGATTTTGGTTCAACGTGGCTATCATAACAAGCAAGTTTTAGGTAAAGTAATTTCAAAAAGTCTAAAACTTTAAAATAAAACCAAATTTTAAACACATCATCAAGCAGCAGTTGATTCCGGTGTACATAACGAAGTTTGGTTTTAAATAGGGGCTTAGAATCTCTGTACAGGCGGCTATTTTCCACCTACCTCATCCGACAATACAAATCGTTAGTGTCAGTTGATCTATTTCAATATGGGCAACTGTGATAGAGACTTGTTAAATCCACTGCCAATGGATGTCAAACAAACGTGCGGAACATCATTGCCATTTTGGGCTTACTCCACTCTAATCTTATATATGTATGCGACTAAAGGGGCAGAAGTATTGTCTCAACTTCTGATTTTATTAAATTCTCGGGTAATCCTCCAGACGTTACGCCAATCTTGACGTTGTTCGATCGTGAACCCCAGCTGTTCAAATTCCGGGAAACGCCTCCGGCTACTTCAGCAGGACATGTTTTTAAAACCTAGTAAAATTTGTCAAAAACTTTTAATTCTAGAATGAATTCAAATACGTATTGATAGCAATATGTAGTCTGATTAAAATAAATTGGAACACTAACCCATTTTTCCACCAGATGGTGGAGTTCTTGCTGTTAAACGTGTCTGTGATAATAATGGGGTGGAAGAATGCTAAAATAATGAGATAATCAATGGCTAGAAAATCACACTTTGAAATTAGAAACATCAAAATTAAAAAACAAGATTGAAGTATTTATCAAATTCTAATAGAATTTCACCTATGATATATGAATTAAGAAGTTTTGATGTAATTTCGGAATAAAGAATAAAGTTCGGCATTTTACCTGTGATAAAGACATTGTGCTGAAAGTAAAAAAAAATGATTAAAACTTAAATACTGCATTTCGGGAGGTGTATAACATGATTCTTCCCTTGATCTACGTCAGGATTCCAACTTGGGTTATTCTAGTCGTGATCCCAGTAAACATGGCAATATACTGCTATCTATAGGGCATTAGACAGATTGTATTTGACGGAAACTAAACGTCGTGATATGTTGCGCCTGTGAAGTCAGTGAATATAAGTAGGTCATAATCGAATTATCAGATTTGTATGGAATTGGCCCGTGGCGTATATGTCATACTTCTGTCATCTTCAATAGAAGGCTTGATCTCGCTTTAACTACGTACATCTTATCAAGGCCTTCACGTAATACTCTGAATATTGCGGCACTAATTTCGATTGGGTACAAGCCCAACTTGTGAGCCTATCAGATTCCTCGATCGTCGCGAATACCAAGTCTCGCGCTTTCAAGCTAAAATGTCTACCTGTGATAATCGAGTTGTAAAGTTCAAGGTTCATTCAATGTGGAGATCACGATGTCACAACCTCTGATTGGACGCTACTGCTCAAGTGTCTGTAGATAACAAAGCTATAAGTTCGGGAATTGTGAAGTAAACAAGCAACGGCCAGATGTTGTAAAACTCGCAGTCGTTGCTTCAGGAACATGTACTTCTGTGTGCTTTTTTTATGCACTCTTTATTGTAATAAGTGAATCTTGTTGGTTTGCCAATATACACATATGTATTGCCTGGTGGTCAATAAATGCATTATTACATTATATTACTCACTGTAAAGCAGAATTAATTTTAGTCTGGTATGACGATTTCGGTGATCTTGTCGGAGAGGCTAAAAACAAAAAATGTAAGCATCACATGTGAAATAAAACTATGTTTAAATAGACTATGGGGTAAACTCAACAGCGGGTCACTGCTTTGTAGACTGTTGTCTATTTTCTTGGTGCAAAGGGATTTTTTTAAACTTTTAAGATTTGATATATAGTAAAAAAACAAATTGAAGAAAGTAAATTCTTACGATAACAAGTCGAGCCTTTATAACCCCCAGGAGATGAGGTTAAACCTATTCTACTTGGAGTAGAAACTCTGTAATATAAAACAATATAGCATTATGAGTCTTTGACTAGAAAGTTCAGTAGGACGTTAAACCCCATTTCATTTCATTTGACTAGAAAGTTAACCTGGAGGAAATCCATGGAACATTTTTACATTCACCCTAGAATATAACTTCCAGTCAAGGAGAATGGTCTGTTATTTTTCTTTTCACAACTGCACACGTGTATATTATTACACGTTATCTATATAGCTGTGTATGAGAATAATTTCTGTGAATTTGAACAATCTTTAAATTTGACAGAACTGAAAGATAATGTGGACAAAATTTATGTTGCATGAAACGAAATATACAATCAAAAGCAGGTAAGTCATCCAAACAATTAGAGTTAAACAACTCAAAAGTATTAAAAAGATCAGTTTATAATTAAAGTTTCTTAGTTGCTAACGGGATTTTTTTTTTGACAAAGTATTTCTGGAAGATACTGTCAAAAATCAATAGGACCCCTTTCCTTTGAATGAGTTAAATAACTGCTAAAAATTCCAATAATAAAAATCATATAATAAATGAAGCTTATACGGTGCTAACAAGAATTTGTTGCAATGGGGAATAATTCTGGAAGTTAATATCAAAAATTGCTGAAATCAATAGGATTCTCTTTTTCAACAAGATAGACACCCAAATACCAATATAATGTTAAGGAAGACTGGAACAAAATCTAAGCCTAAATAGGAGAACAACCCTCATTTCAATTAGAAAGACAATCTATATTAGTTTCAAATTGGATTATCTCAGCCTCTAAATGATAACGACAGATCGACGGACGCGAAGACAGACATTGTAACGGCAAAATACAATCGCATTAAAATATGTGTGTATAAATTTCATCACAAGATAATAAAGTCAAGTTTGATATAACATGGTTTAATTATGTTGCAATTCAAATCATTCCTTGATGAATGTATATATATACATGTATTAACACATGCTGTCTAAACTTGAAAGGAACAGTCTTAAAATAACATAACACAAGCGACGATAAATAAACCAATACAACAATAAATAACCCAACTCAAGCTAAACTAAAATAACACAACCCAAGAGAGAATAAATAATATAACCCAAGAGACAATAAATAATATAACCTAAGAGACAAAAAATAATACAATAAAGAACTAAAAGAAAACAACATTTCAAACCTTGAAACAGACCCTCCTAGTCCCTGGCAATTAAATTTTTTAAACATTCACATTTGATATTCCATTTTCATAATACATAAAACAAATAGTCATAAACATGTACATTTCAAATAAAGGAGATACAGACTCGTCGCTCTTCTGGTGACCCGAGGAATCTGATATATTTCGGTATTGAGAATTACCCCTTGGCGGTTGGAATTCTATATAAGATTAGGTCATATTGCCGCTGCCCGGGCAGAATTCCCCTCATAGCACACTGTACGGCGTATGCCCGTCTTCATTAGCCCAGTCGGAGCAGAACAGTGGGACGTTAACCACTATTTCATTTCATTTTACGTCTAAAGGTCAAGGCAAAAACCGTCCCAGTGTATAGGCCGCGAAACGTTCGGGGATTCATTGGTAAAGGGGGTTAACGTTTTTAATACAGATTTATTAACCAGACGTCTGGCATGCAAACAAAAATGTTTACAGTTGGAGAGAGAGGGAGAGAGAGAGAGAGAGAGAGAGAGAGAGAGAGAGAGAGGTGGGGTTTAACGTCCACTCGACACAAACCAGGTCATATCGGGACCAACGTGTGGTTCAATTTTATTTCAATAATTCGCTTGCGCGTAGGGGCCTTTAGCAGTGGGAGGAAACCGGGGGACCCGGAGATCCCCCCCCCCCCCGAGGTTGGACAGGCGACCCTACTCCTCGTCACGTACAACCGGGGAATCGAAACCACGCCAGTTGACTCAATAACAGACTTTATGATACAGCGCGCACATTCTAACCATTCAGCCATCCAACCCCCCGTTTACAGTTGGTATGTCTGGCAATACATGGCGGAATGTTTTAGATAGATGTCTCTAAGGCAACGTAATGTCCGCGTAACGGATAGGCAGCGAAACATTCAGGGACTTATTGGTCAAAAGGTTAATGTTTTAATAGGTTATTTTCACAATGTTTTGTTATTACAGACGATCTGTATGATTGCAAGACACTTAAAGTAAAAAAAAAAATATATCAAAGTTTTAAAAGGGCACAAGGTCTGGGTAAAAAAAACCCACTTATCAAACCTTTTTATAAAATTCGCGTTATTTCATTTTAAATATTTAAAACTTACTGACCTTTTCACTAATTAATCTTTTTAAATAAGCATTTTCATCTCGTAGTTTTAATATTTCCCTAGATAAAACGAAAATGTACTCAAAGTTGATAACAATATAATAATATGGGTTCAATTCTGTGTTTGGGAAGGAGCTTTATTGCTCAGGTAAAGTTTGAAATGTGGTCACAAATATACAATAAAAACAATTGGCAAGTTTTATGCAATGTGTCTATTCAGGGTAACATACCAACCTGACGTTTCTTATGCTGCTTAGTTATGTATACTTGAATAATGGTTTGAAATGGAGCCGTCCCAGATATATTTGTTGAATCAAATGTTCATTCTGTGAGGAAGACTCTTAGAACACATTGTTTCAGTCCTGTACAGACGGCTAAATCTATTTGTTAAGGCAAGCTCAATATTTTCAAGGTCGCTGAGGTGTAAATAAGGTTAGGGCACGTGATTGTTGGCGAGATTGTAGGTTAGGGTTAGGGTAAGCATTGGGGCTAGGTCCAGAGTTAGGTTTAAGAATTTGGGGGAGATCTGTGCTTCTTTTACCCAGAAAAACAAACCCTCAGTATGATTTTGTTGCAGACTATGTCCAATTGCTCGGGTAGTACCGATTCTTACAATCTGATTAAAACACAGATCCTATTTCGTTCCGTTTTTTATAGTTCAAAATTTCGTTTCATTTGTCTTTACTACACTAGGATCTGGAAGAGTTGTTATCATTGACGTGTTCTGAATAGTGTGAGGTATTAGCCAATAAAACGGTCTCTTACGGCGAGCTTTAGGCGTGTTTTGACCGGAACTGTGGGTTATCCACTAGTAACACTAATGCTGATTGGTTAATCAAATGTCTGTCACGGGCCAACATGCCCCTCGTATGACCTCTGACGCGATATTCCACTACAACCGGTCAGATCTTCATGTAGTGTAGGCCATCGAAAGTATAAAAAACGAAACGAAATATAGATCTGTATTTTAATCAGATTGCGATTCTTACCTCTCATTATCGTGACTTTGTGAAATAGCCTTTTGAGCCTTTTCAATAATACTGGTTTGATTCGCCATCTAAAAAATATAAAAGACAGCAAAAATTGGTAAGGCCAGGCCCGTAGCCAGCTTGCTAGCTTCGGAGGGGCAGTGAAGTTTTTAGGGGGGGGGGCACACCCGGCACAGTCTACAGTAGGTATTTTAGAGCTATGGTCGGCAAATTTTTTTTTTTTGGGGGGGGGGGGGGCAAAACATTTTGCCCCCCTCTGGCTACGGACCTGAGTAAGGCAGGAAGAATATCTTTCTAATCAAGTTTGAGACTTCTTAAAGATACATTATGTAAGATTTAGATAAAGAGCTAAACATTCTTGTTATAATAATTCGAAAATAGATAATGTAAAATGAATATTTTGAAAATTTCATTCAAATTACTCTATTGCGAGCCTTTTGAAGGTTTGACAAGATGTGTGCAATAACTTCAACCACCGTACTGGTTGTTCGAAGCTAAATCTCGCTCCTCCATTTTTAGATTAAATCAAAATACGGCTGAACCGTTTTAATCTTTTTAAAATCGGAGAAATCCGATGCAATCGCGAGTTTATTATGGCCAGGGTCAGTTAATTAATGTCTAATTAATAATTTAGAAAACATTTCAGGCCTAAAGAAAGACCTGCAACAGGAAGATTTAGCTCTTGCATAATATATCTTTAAATATATACTGATGTCCAAAAGAAAGTATACACACTAAAAGTATGACTAAAGTTTTGTTTATATTAAAAACATTTGATAAAACATTACTGAGTTTGTCTCTTGCGTCCAAACTCAACATTTCTAAGCAAAATAAAAAAGTGAAACAAATTGACACTCTACCCAAATACCGTATACCATGGAAAAACGACTTTGGTTGATGCAGCACAAAATGCACAGTGTATACTTTCTTTTGGACATCAGTATATGTAGATGTGGATCAGTGGGCATGAAGCTGGCTCATTAACCTGTAGGTCGAGAATTTTCCAGTCTGGTTTCCTTTTTTCAGTGTTTATCCTAGTCAATCGGTTGGGAGTAGAACATCGCAGCCTGACTGTGGACTCGGTGACATGCACTTAAAAGATCCTGCGTGATTTAAGGGATCGGTGAGGATAGAGCGGGCTCATTGACCAGGAGGTCTAGGTGTTGGCAGAGAATGGTCCACTGAATTTTCCAGTTTGGTATCCTCTTTGTCATTCGGTTGAAAACAAAAAATCGGAGCACGACTGTGTATTCGTTAATGAAGAGTAAGCCAAAACCACAGGCCTGTGGCGAAAACACACCTATTATCTGTCCAGACAAAATTCCCTCATTATAATCTGCATGGCATATGCCCGTCTTCATTTTATGGGAGCCACAGTGGAGGTAACGTGTTTTGATCCCCGCATCAGGGTGCATGACACAGGGTCGGGCAAGAGGCAAAGTATAGTCGTTCGGATGGGACGAAAAATCGAGGTCCTGTATACACACTGGCGTGTACGTAAAAGATCCCTTGGCAATTGGAATTCGATATAAGAGTAGACCGTAGTGCCGCTGAAGGGGAAAATTTCCCTTACTGCGTATGTCGTCTTTATTAGCCCTGACGGAGCAGAAAAGTAGGACGTTAAACTCATTTAATTTCATTTACATTGTATTTCATTTTATATAATGACATAACACCAGAAACCTCTATGAAAGTCTAATTCAAAATTTAATAAATACTGCACTGAATATGCCAACGTGGACTTTATGGTAAATCTTATGTAAACTATTGTCTACAAGATGGCATAGCTTCACAAAATAATTAGCTTCTTCGTCCATTCATTAGTCAAATACTCATTTTAATAAATATAATTCTGTATTTAAAGGCTAGATGCGTGATATGAATTTTCGCCGAGATATCAAATTATTTCTAACGCGGTAATAATACACGCTAAATATGTGTTCTGATTGAGAGAAAGAGAAATGGGGTTTAACGTACGCTTGACACACACTAGGTCATTTCGGGACTAACATATGGTTCAATTTTATTTCAATAATTGACATGTGCGTAGAGGTCTTTAGTTGTGAGAGGAAACCGGAGGACCTGGAGAAAACCACGAGGTTTGACAGGCGACCCTACTCCTTGTCACGTTCAACCGGGGATTCGAACCCACGCCAGTTGACTCAATGACAGACCTTATGATACAGCGTGCATGCGCTAACCATTCGGTCATCCAGCTCAGATGGTATTTTAACATTTAATTAATCTTGGATTCAATCGGATTTAAAATAGACCAATCCAATTTTCTCCGCAACCATCCGTAGCTGGATGAAATTTCTGTTTATGATAACTTTGTAAATACTGAATGAAATTAAAATTTCTCAATATTTTAGTTTGCAAGGGATTCTTATGGCGCTAAATGACGCATCGAGACTTTAAATCTTGGAAGTTCTAATCAATAATTTTGTTCTTGTTGATTAATTGCATCCAATACTAATATTTAACAAGATTTTCAAACAAACTCTATAGCCAATCTTCTGAAATTAGAAATCAACGGCCCTCTTCCATTTGAATAAGAAATGAATCTTCTATTAAAGGAACTATTCTATTGTCAACATTTAAAGGAAGTTTTTGTCATTATTTAAAGGAGCTAAATCGCTAATATTTGGGACCTAGAGATTGACACAAATGGGTCACAACGCATATAATAATGTATATAAACTGATTTACATTCAATCGTTTCTGTTTTAATTCTAATTTCAAATCAGTTATGTTCTGCGGAATAAGCCAGAAGTCTCAATCGAATGGCAACCTCTAGAGTCCGGTTATTTCAGTCTACATCGATATTATTTCTTGCGCATGCTCTCCAGAAAATAATATGGCGTCACTGTTTGACATGACTTGTGGAATATGTCTAACCTCGTTCTTCGAGTCCCTTGTTACAAATGGCGCTGAAACGCATTATGGTACACGATTCGTGTACCAATGGTAAAATGTTTATTTTGTCTTAAATATTGGATATCAGAAACCCATCTTTTTTAACAGCAAGATAACAACATCAATGCTGATTTAAACTGACAAATAATTCGTGTTTTCAATGTCGAAGATTTTGGGTGATACTGAGTTAGAGAATTAGCTACTTTAATTGGAGACCGACCAGATGTTGATTGGGATTTGGGAGCTCAAAAAACACTAACTGAATTCCTTAACAAAATGTTACTGCGAAGAAAAAACATACTGCCAGTTATAGAATATACACCCAGCATTTTTAAGGGTTGTTTTCAAGGTTTCGTTGGCCATGGACAATAATCAATGAAATGAAATGAGGTTTAAAGTCCCAGTACGCTGCACCGACTTGGCTAATAAGACGGACATACGCCAGACAGTGTACTATAAGGAACATTTTGACTGAACAACTGAGTTATTTCTAATTACAAATGTCAATTTTTTTTTAACGTATTTTCCAATGTATACGCGGGACCTCGGTTTTTCGTCCCTTCCAAACGACTAGACGCTGTTCCTTGTCAGGTCCCTCGTCACTATCAAGCGGAAATCACACGGGAAAATCCTTAGAAACTATCTCGGCTAAAATAAAAAAGAATCGATTGACTCTAGGGCAATAATCAACAACACAATTAACCCTTTTGCAACCGTATAACCGTATAAATCAGGTGCTATTTAATATGATCTATTTTAAAACGTTACCAGTAACGATATTTATCTTCTAGTTGAGAGAGAGAGAGGGATAGAGGGGGGGGGGACGGGTCGGAGAGAGAGAGGCTTTAACATCCACTCGACACAGGCTAGGTCATTTCGGGACTAACATATGGCTCTATTTTATTTCAATAATTCTCTTGCGCGTAGGGGTCTTTATCAGAGGGAGGAAAACAACGAGTTTGGACAGGCGCCCCTACTCCTTATCAACCAAGGAATCGAAATCACGCCAGTTGGACCCAATGACAGACATTATGATACAACGCGCACACGCTAACCATTCGGCCGGGTAACAAAACAGTCAGCACCACTTTTATTTATGCCTTACTCACCCTTTCTCTAATAAATGATGTTAACCTTTTTCTGTGACTTCTCTGAAAATCCATAACCTGAAATGTCAAATGTTATATGAGTAGGTAAATGTTTTGTTCAAGAGATCAAGTGTTTTTCAACAGTTAACTTACCTGTACTATGTAACTTATGATATTACAGACATCTAGTGTTTTTCAACAGGTAACTTACCTGTACTAAGTAACTTATGATATTACCCAACAGTTAAAAATGAAATGAAATGAAATGAAATGGGGTTTAACGTCCTACTGTTCTGCTCTTATACTGGGCTAATGAAGACGGGCATACGCCATACAGTGTGCTATGAGGGAAATTTTGCCCGGGCAGCGGCACCATCGCCTACTCTTATATCGAATTCCAACTGCCAAGGGATCTTTAACGTGCATTCCAATGTATACACGGGACCTCGGTTTTTCGTCTCATCCGAATGACTAGACAGCTGTCCTTGTCAGGCCCTCTGTCCTGCATCACTGACAAGGGGGAACCACGCCGGAAAATCTGGATGAACTTTCTCGGCCAATGCAGGGATCGAACACACGACCTCCAGGCTAGCGAGCTAGCGTCTTACCCACTTAGCCACCGTGATCCCCCGTCATAAACAGTAATTGTATTCCATATAGAAATAGGGAGAGAGAGAGAGAGAAATGGGGTTTAAAGTCCACTCGACACAAACCAGGTCATTTCGGGACTAACACATGGTTTAATTTTATTTCAATAATTCGCTTGCGCGTAGGTCTTTAGCAGTGGGAGCATAGGCGTAGGAGCCGGGGGGGGGGGGCAATGAAAAATTCGACGACCTTTTTTTTTCTATTAACGTTTAGAGAAAAAATATAACTAACTTATTTCTATGAGATCCACACTGCCCGAAGCTCTCTTATGATATGTATGCCCGAAAAAACGGTATTAATTTCGGGCAATTTTCTCTTATGCCCCCTGCATTACTTTGAGCTCCTACGCCTATGAGTGGGAGGAAACCGGAGGAACCGGAGAAAACCCACTAGGTTGGACAGGCGACCCTACTCCTTGTCACGTACAACCGGTGATTCTATAGAAATAGGATCTATGGTTTAATCAGATTGATATTCAAAACGTTTGAAATGATATTAAATTACCAAAGCTTTATAATGATGGTTTAAAGGATGTATTTTATGAAATGATATTATATTACCAAAGCTTTATGATGATGTTTTAAAGGAGCTTAGTCGCTAATATTTGGGACCTAAAAATTGGCACAAATGGGTCGCAACGCATACAACAATGTAATATGAATGTATATAAACTGATTTACATTCAAACGTTTCTGTTTTTACTGTAATTTTTAATCAGTTAGATTTGGCGAAATACGCCAGTATTCTCCATCGAATTTCAATCTCTAGCGTCTGGTTATTCCAGTCTACGCCAATATTATTTATTGGGATTGCACTCCAGATAAGAATATAGCGTCACCGTTTGACATGACTTGTGGAATATGCCTAGCCTCGTTTTTCGAGCCCCTTATTACAAATAGCGCTGAAACGCATTATGGTACACGATTCGTGTACCAATTGTAAAATGTTTCTTTTGTCTTTAATATTGGATATCAGAAGGCCATCTTTTCCCGGGAAGATCAAAACATCAATGTTGATTTAAACCGACAAATAAATCGTGTTTTCAATGTCAAAGATTTTGGATGATATTGAGTTAGAGACTTAGCTACTTTAAAGGATGTATTTTATGACTTATTTATTTTTATTAAAACAATACTTTTTTTCCTGGACGCCTGGTCTCACATGGTGAGTGGCCATTGTCACGCGGCGACCCATTTCAATTTCCGGGAACTACTTTTCAGCGATAGCCCATAGGTTAGGGAATGACGATATTTTTTTACCCCTTCAAACCGGCTGCGTATTGAGTCAGTAAGTTACTGATTATGAAAGAAGAGTTCGACCTTTGACTAGAAAAATAGAAGGACGCGGATCAATCGAGTATGGGATGCACATTTCTGTCCACGATTTTCGTAATAGAATTCGAGTTGTTCCGCTGCGCAATGATTATGTCATTCGGTGTTTTACACGAACGATCCCATTGCTGGACCCACCCCTACATTAAAACTTGACTGTATTTGTTCAAGTGAACATAGAATTTCTTCTAGTTATCGACCAGAAGCTAAAAAATGCTGAGAGTTCAAAAAGTTTATGACTCTAAAAGTGATATTGCCCTAGGCAAAAACAGTTCAATACATTTTGATTTTGTTGAAAAAAAAGAAAGCTAGGAAAGTAGAGTTTTCTTTGTCGATCTGGATCCACCAAGAAATACGGTAGAACAATACTGTTATGTTGTTTTAACACATTGTTTAACGTAGGAGGAAATAAAATCCTATTTTTCCTTTTAGTTATCTCTTGATTTATGTTTTAAAAAAACATCGAAAGCTTTTAGCCATTATACATATAGATTTCATGCAGCTATGGATATTGGTATTATTAACATAAAGGTCTCTGAACGCCAAGGGGAATTGTCTTCATCGACTAATCAATCCCCTACTGCTAACTAAATGATCGTTGACTTTCCAAATGATTAGTTTGAGTTTAGGAAACGCTGTCTAAACAATCAGGCGTGTATCCAGAGTGGGGTGAGATGGGGGGGGGGGGCTTTTTTTCCCCCTAGTCAGCTAAATAACGACGAACAAACAAACGTGCGACGTGTTGGCCTCACTTCAATCTAATCATATACATCAGTGATTCTCAATCAGCGGTGTGCCACGAGATCTTCCTAAGTGTGCCGACGCGAAATTTTGAACGGCACACTAAGAAATTTCGAAAAAGCATGTGATCCCAATTGAGTATTTACTGATGTCTACTGATAAGTTCATAGCTGTGTTTTTCTTTATTTAGTTGGAGTCATTCTATGTCTCCATGACTAGTCCCTGTCTAGGGTTGTATGCCGTATATGATTTGCCATGTTTTTATTTTGCAAAATTTAAATATTTATTCATATACATTTAGCCAGGTGTGCCGCTATTTTTTTTTTCATGTGTTGCAAGGTGTGCAGTTGGCCATAAAAGGTTGAGAACCACTGATATACATATATGCACCTAAATGGGCAGAAATATTGTCTCAAAGCTTCTGAATTGATTAAATTCTCTGGTTATCGCCACAGACATTACGCCAAAGCGGCCTAACTGGACGTTGTCTCCACCGTGGGATCCCCGCTGCTCAAATTCATGAACACGCCCCTGACAATATCATCAAAATATCGCAAATTCAGCCTCAAAATTGAAATTTTCCGTCATTTTCATAGTTCCTCGCCTCCGGTACAAACCCTATTTTCCAAAATTTTCTGGAAGGGCAGGCGTGTCCCACGGTGCCGTTCGCCGTGGTCCATCAAGTATAGGTACATAGGCGACCCCAGCAGCCCCATCGGCGAACCCAGAAGCCATTGCCTCCTCCCAACATTTTTGGGCTAGCTACAGGCCTGAATATATAACCGGCAGCTTACAATTTATTATCAGTCTGCAGATAAATTCAACAGCCATAAATGAAATGAAATGAAATGGGGTTTAACGTCCTATTGTTCTGCTCCGACTGGGCTAATGAAGACGGGCATACGCCATACAGTGTGCTATGAGAGAAATTTTGCCCGGACAGATTCCAACTGTCAAGGAATCTTTTGCGTGCACGCAAATGTGTACACGGGACCGTCCTGCATCACTGACAAGGGAGAACCACGCCGGAAAATCTGGATGAACTTTCTCGGCCAATGCCGGGATCAAACGCCCGACCTCCAGGCAAGCGAGCCAGCGTCTTACCCACATAGCCACCGTGATCCCCTCAACAGCTATAAGTTGTATTGATTGAAGAAAGGAAGCTTTTAGCTGAAACGTTTTATTTTACATATCATCTACATGGTTTACATTGATCTTAAAATGAATAATTAAAGTCGTCGATTAATAAAATGCAGTTTTGGGACAATATCGAATTGTTTTTAACCACTTAACCCAAATTGATTATTTAAACTTACATCTGCCTATTGCAGATCTTTCTTTAGGCATGAAATGTTATATAAACTATTGATTAGACATTGATTAACTTAACCCGATGCCATCTTATATGTCCGATTTGCATTGCATTGGATTTGAATCCGATCTTCTGTTCAACGATCATCGGTGATTAAACGCAAAAATGGATAATCGAGACTTTGTTTTTTATTGTACCGAAGTAATGGAGAGAGAGAGAGAGAGAGAGAGAGAGAAATGGGGTTTAACGTCCACTCGACACAAACTAGGTCATTTAGGGATTAACATATGCTTTAATTTTATTTCAATAATTCGCTTGCGCGTAGGGGCTTTTAGCAGTGGGAGGAAACCGGAGGGCCCGGAGAAAACCCACGAGGTTGGACAGGCGACCCTACTCCTTGTACCGAAGTAATGGTGATTGAGGCCTGGCCTAAAATTCAATCGCAAATATCTAAGTTCAGAGTGGAGCATTTTGACTGAAATCTTCAGCATATTCCCTTTATATTGCAAAATGAATATATTGAAAATTTCATTAAAATTACTTTATTCTGAGTAAAGTTATCACCATTTGTAGTTTTAACAAGATGTGTGCATTGACTGTTTTACGAAAAATCACGTTTTTAGCTTGTGGTCCTTCTAGAATTCACAATTTTTATCCGATATAAAAAAAACGTTGAAATATATCACCGTTACACCATAATGATGGTTGAATTCCAATTTCGTGAAAATTGGACCTAAACTGCCGGACAAAATGGCCAATTCCTGTACGCAAATAGTGTTAAAGTATCTAATGTGGACCCTATAGAGGTCAGAATTTTGAACTTAAAGGCTCAATGCCACTCTTGTTGTAACCGAATAATATGTCCCAATCTTTATTCTGGTCAACAAATTGTACCATTTTACAATATTCCAATTAATTGATGATACAAATTTCATCTTAACACACCTAATTTAAAACATTGGAAAAATTCAACTAAATGATTTGAAAAGCCTGACGTAAAGCTTTTCAAATGTGACTTGGATTTAAAAATATTTTTGAACCCTCTGGACAAGTAAAATAGGATTTAATGGGTAATTTACACAACAGGTAGGACAATAGCACATCTAGTACTTAGAATAAGGGTATTTTTTTATTTTCTGGAGCTGTCAAGCCAGCAAGAGTGTTATTGTCCCTTTAAAACATGTGTTTATATCACAAAGAATTCGGTTCCTTTCGATATACGCGCATATCAGACGGTAACGTCCTTGATTATGGCCCCGACTGTACGAAAAAAAAATCTCGATTTTAGCTTGAAGACACAAAATAGCGATTTTAGCTTGTGTACCCTCTAGAGGTCACAATTTTATCCGAGTTTAAAAATCGTTTAAATACACCATCGTTACACTCTGATGATAGTTGAGAAATCGGACCAAAACTGTCCGACAAAATGCTACTTGAACGCAAATAGTATAAAAGTATGTAATACGAATATTGTGGACTCTCTTAAGATCACAATTCTTGTCCGATTTTGATGAAACTTAAAATATATGTTCCTTTTGATATTCGCGCATTTCAGAGGTCACAAATTTTATCCGATCTCGATTCCTTTCAATATTAGCGCATATCAGACCATAACTTTCTGGAGATCACAATTTTTGTCCGATTTTGATGAAACTTAAAATGTATGTTTATATCCCAAAGATCTAAGTTCCTTTCGATATTCGCGCATTTCAGACCATAACTTACTGGATCATGGCCCTTTATGTACGAAAAATCGCGATTTTTTTATAACTTATTCTCTATCCATCTTCTGCAAAATGTGGGCGTATCATGCATGGCGACAGCTGATCTACCCTACCTGTACTAGTTCTCTGTTATGTTTCTTGGCCAAATCTAGAGGATCCATAAAGAAGCATTCTACTTCTGGTTTCAACTGTAAAATAAATTAAATGTATCAGAATCTCGATCTGATTAAAATACAGATCTATATTTCGTTTCATTTTTTTTTTATAATTTCGATGGTCTAGCTACATGAAGATCTGACTGGTCTGTTACGGCCAGTTTTTGGCGTGAGGTACACGGAACTGTGGGTAACCCACTAGAAACATCAACGCTGATGTTTAATCAAATGTCTGACGTCATAGGGTCAAAAGCCGCTCGTATAATCTCTGACGCGACCTTCCAATACAACTTGTCAGATCTGCATGTAGTAGAGACCATCGAAAGTATAAAAAAACGAAACGAAATATAGATCTGTAGTTTAATCAGATTAGATTCAGTTTATAACAGTTTTTTTCAGTGTGTTCGATATTTTAATTCATTACGCAATAGTTCTCATTCCATACACTTTCTTGTCCTTGGGGTAACGTCTCTTCAATACTGCCTAATGCTGCGCCAATTTTGAGGTAAAATCGACAAGATACTTGGTATGCTTCTCCTTCGGACAATTGATCATCGATCGATTAACGGCCTTCGATTTCCGAAATGTCATAAGTTTCAAGATGGCTGGTTCTTGGTTCATAGTACGATTGTACTGTTCTTAAAGATATTTAACTATATACTTCGTCCTATTGACTATTATTGATCCCAATGAAAACACCCCTTACAAATATTATATTAATATATATTATCAAAATCCCAATATCGATTATTAATAACTTAAGAAACAAAATCAATATAAAATTTAGTTTGCTGCAAATATCTCAATATTTACAGGAAGTAAATTTCTAAATTCGGAATGATTTATGAAGATCATACAGTAATCAATCTTAAAAATATATATGAAATGAAATGGGGTTTAACTTCCTAGTGTTCTGCTCTGACTGGGCTAATGAAGACGGGCATACGCCATACAGTGTACTATTAGGGACATTTTTCTTGGACAGCGGTACTACTCTTATACAGAATTCCAATTGCCAACGGATCTTTTACATGCACGCCAATGTAAACACGCAACCTCGGTTTTTCGTTTTCGTACCATCCGACGACGAGACAGCTGTCCTCCGCCCTGACAAGAGGTAACCATGTCGGAAAATCCCGATGAACTTCTCGGCCAATGCAGTGATCGAACAAGCGACCTCCAAGCTAACGAGCCAGCGTCTTACCCGCTTAGTCACCCCCACCCTAATAAAGTAATTAAAATCAAAAGTGACAATTATGGGATCGAATACCAGTCTAATATGCAAGTGGCAGTCGAAATGGCTCAAAAATGCAGATATTGATTGCACAATCTAGTGAGGAAGTTGTCAATTAATGTACATGTAATAAGATTAGTAGAATTTTTGCCTTTAAATTAATAATAGCATTATATTAACTATGGCTTTAGCTAATTATTGGATTTCATTTTGTAGAGAAGTCACATTGCAGGCACTTAAATTGAATGAGGTTGACACATAAAAAGATTTATAAAACCAAAACATAGCTGGTTCTGCGTGAAAACAGAATATCATGTTGTCAGTGATGTAGGGCGGAGGGACTGGCAGGGGACACATATAGTCCTTCGAATGGGATGAAAAACTGAGATCCCTTTGTACACATGACAGTTGGAATTCGATATAATTGTACCCTGTGTATTTCCAGTTCAATTACCTAATTTCCAATTAAACAACTAAAACAGATCAATAGAACCAGTACTGTACCTTGCTTGTTAATTTCATTGATGTACATTCTGCCCCACACATTTTACATCTCTTTTCACATCCTAAAAATAGACCTTGAAATTAGATCCTAATCTCGTTTGTTGCTTATATTCTTATATATATCTTATAAGATGTTAGCTTACAGATGCATTATGTAAGAACTAAATCTGCTTAATGCAGATCTTTCGTTTGGCCTCAAATGTAGTTAGACATTTATTCACATTCCAAGTCCATAATCAACTCTCACAACCATCGGATGGTTTAGATTTTCAACGGATTTAAACACGTTCGTAAGATAATAATTTAATAAAAAAATGGATAATCGGGGCTTTGTTTATTATCGTAACACTGATAGCAATGACAATCGCGACTACATTGTTCTTCAAACGGCCATAACTCTGCTCAGAATGAAGTAATTTGACTAAAATTTTCAATATTATTCCCTTATCATTAACCTATTTTTTAACTATTTACTATTATAAATCTTACATAATACATCTTTAAACAATATAGGCAAATCAAAATTAATAACTGGTAATAAAACATATCAGATCAGTACATATTAATATATTATGATCCCGGCTTCCATATTCAAAATTTTGCAAGCTGGTCAATTTTTGACCATGTTCGCTAGCCAAGGGTTACGATTCGCTTCTCTCGGCTAGCGAAGATGATTTTTGGCGTATTTTGTTTTACGACCATTATCTCAATTTCTATACATATATTTGTTTTTACTATATATAGTGTGTTTAAGGTTAATTTCTTTGGAATTCCAATTTGGCTGGCAAATAAATTTGTAGCCCGACAATTACACTGCCAGTCTTCCATCACTCGGAACAAATTATACTTTTAAGATAAAAGATAACAACAGGTGCGATGAGTAACTTGTACATATTTTGCATCAGGAAACTTTGTATTTTAAGTCTAATCTTTATTATTATTATTAAGTCTAATCTTTATTATTATTATTATTATTATTATTCAAACCTTCTTTTACACATTTTTCACAATAAATGTGTCCGCAGCTAGTCAATGCATATCCTTTACCATTACCAGGTTGACAAAAACATAAATTACAGTGCAACCAATCCATTCTAAAATATCATTCATATCTGAAATAAAACAAGAACTGATTATCACAATTGCTGACTAATTCAAACGAATGTTGTTTGTGATTTTGTATGCACAATTCTACATGAACATAGTGAGGGATTATTATAAATTTGTGTCGGATGTGGCAAGAAATGATTCCTTTTGGCAAACAAAAAAGAATCACGGTGAAAAATAGACGGTAATTACTAATTATTCCAAAATAGCCTTAGAACTTTAGAACCCATGTGTGTGTGGTTTTTTTTTTGGGGGGGGGGTTGGGGGGGGGGGGGCTTATTTTCATATTGGTTGTCTTTAGCATCGGGTATTAACGTTGAGAGCTAGCCTCTATATCAGACATCGTGACTAAAGTATTTAGTAAACACATAACTTCAGTCATTTACGATTTAGAAAGAAACGTGGTAATTTTTATTTTTAATTAGTAATGGTTACAGGTGAAGTACGGTAGTCTACAATGATAGATTGATTGGTCCGATTGGAGAATTTTGCCCAGACAAGATTTTTTTTTTTTTTTTTTTTGGCGTTCATTCAATTGTGTACACGTGATAGACCCCAGTAAGTTTTAGGTATAATCCAAATGACCAGGCACACTCTCCGTGTCGTCCTTCCAGATAAAGGCGGGGTCGCATTAAAAATCCTGAAGGCTGAAAAGTGAAGGTTTTTATTTGGTCCACAAGACGACGTTCTTGTCTAGAGAGTCAGAAGTAAGCTAACTAGCTGTAGAGTCTGTCTTGATCGCTCGACTACCACTGCCTTCCCTCTGACAGTCATTCTGGAATTTTTAAGCTGCACTAGGCTGTGTTAATAATTAACTGGAATTTTTGCCATTGAAAACCTTGTGTATTGAAGGACATGCAAAATACGACTATTTGTATTTTATATTGACCGCTGTTGCAAACTTCTGATGGATTCCTCTTGAAACGACGCCCCCTGGTGACTAGTTTGTATACCGGATCAGACAATGCCTGCACAAATAATCAATACGGGTGATTTAATTTGTCAATTCAAAAGGGCATATTTTCATTAACCTGAACAAATAAAATTTTCGTATAGGTGGAACTGGAGAAACTTACATTCTTATTCACATACATTTTATTTTTAAAACCAAGACTGTGTTGTATTCCTAAAACTGTCCGTAAAAACAACGTTCGGTTTTGTAGAATTGATCGTTTAGTCTTTTTTGTCTCTTAGATTGCCAATGATTTTTCAGTCTGGGTAATCGTAGAATCCAATATGTCTGCGCCCATGTGTCTTTTTATGTAAACATTGAGATATTTTTTCTGTTCATTATATTTTATGGTGATACGTGCGACTCTGGGAGTGGAGGTATTTACGTTGTGTGTAGGTAATGGTGGCAAAGTAATTATACAGTATTTACTAGCTATTTTCATCAATATTTACTATTTTATTACATTTAAAATTAATCAATGCCACCAGACAATATCTTCAATATTTTATTGCTACTTTCTTTTTTCTCCGTTCACATTTTCGCTCACTTGAAATCACTTCACCAAAGTAACGTAATAATTTTGCATTGGTGAAATGATTAGAGGCACCCGTGGCTAAAAATAAAAACTAAACATCCAAATTGAAATATGCTAATGTTTGTGCATTCTTGGATCTAATGCAAGGGATGGCTGTTTCGTACTTAGTTCGTTCGTACCTCACATGAGCCGTTTCGTACTTAGTTCATTCGTACCTCACATGAGCCGTTTCGTACTTCACTTCGTACCTCAAATTGATTCGTACCTTTTCCTATGTTGATGAAATCAGATAAAAGAAATTGAAATAAAGGTGAAACGATTTGATCAAATCCAACGGCTACGCTAAATTTATATTACACAGCCTGTCCAATAGTAGTAATTCACATACATTTATACTAAAATTGCTTCAGCATTTCACTAAATTTACATCGGTTACGATCGAAAGCCATGTTCATGCAGTTGGGTTTCAATAACAGAATTACCCCGTGAGATGACCGTATATACGGTCCATGATATAACAGATCAAAGAAACGCATACGCCCATCTTCACACGTAGGCACCTTTTGGAGACTTAATTGCTGCGTTCTGTTTCTAGGCACAAATAACCCAACCAAATCAGAAAGCATGCAGTTTCATCTTACTATGAGTTAAATTGATTTTGGAATTCTTAGTATATCCAATCGTTTTTAATCGCTTTAACAACCACCAATCAGTTGTCGTCAATAATCACAACTCACTCAGCAGAATGGGTTCAATAATCAACCCCAGATTAAATACTTTTCAATCGTTTTTTAAACTGCTTTAACAATCACCAATCAACTGTCGTCAAAACTCACTGAGCAGAATGGGTTTGATAATCAACATCAGATTTAAAAGAAAGGCAGGTAATCGTTTATTATTTCAATTTCTTTCAACAACATATAGATTTATTTTAATTTCTTTCAATTCATTTCAACAATAGGAAAAGGTACAAATCAATTTGAGGTACAAATCTCGTGCATATTCTTATTCTGGTTCGGCATTTTCAATTTCTTTCAACAACAAAGGAAAAGGTACGAATCAATTTGAGGTACGAATGAACTAAGTACGAAACAGCCAGGTTACGAAACATCCTGCACCCAATGCAAGTATATTTTATTTTGTGTACTGGTGTACTATAAAACTGTGCAACAGAAATAAAAATAATAGTAAGCAGAAACTCTATCAATATTGATTTGATGTAGGTCAAAGTTCAAATCCAACAGGTTGCTTCTCGATTGCATCATGAAATAATTAAATTAAACATATCAATACATATTAATCAGTATTGGCGTGGTTTCGATTCCCCGGTTGTATGTGACAAGGAGTAGGGTCGCCTGTCCAACCTCATGGGTTTTCTCCGGGTCCTCCGGTTTACTCCCACTGCTATAGAAATGGTTCCACTACTGATGTCTTCCGCCTTACTCCAGCCACAGTAGTGGCTCGTCCCTATAGAGTTCCTTTGCGCAAGTTTTTTAGTGAAATCACTACAAAAAGGTTACTGGCCTATAGCTCCCGTAATTTACACACAAACTGACCCAAAACAGTAGTGCACCTAGTTTAACATATAATAAATCAATTCCTATTGAAATAAAGGTGAAGCCTTACCGCATAATTATATGATTTGATGAAACCCAACTGCTACGTGAAATTTCAACTGCCGGCTGGTGTCATGGCGGATTGTGTAATACGTCATTACAAGAAACATCGCTACGCAAATGTAGAACGCATAACCACGAAGAAAAACTGTTCGGTAACTATTTGAGTGGTCCAGTCTTCACTATTTGTCATAGAATTACTTATTCCAATACAAACTGTAATGATATGTGTTGACAATTGTGCGTTTGAACCTATTTGAACTTGCGTAAGGAGTCTTAGACTGTATCAATTGTAACGTTAAACACACAGTTTAACGTTACAAGTATAGTAACTACCACTGCTAAAGTCCCCTACGTGCAAGCGAATTATTGAAATAAAATTGAACCATGTGTTAGTCCTGAAATGACCTAGTTTGTGTCAAGTGGACGTTAAACCCCAAATCTCTCTCTCTTAAGAATGTGTAGTTATTTCTATAAATCTTTTAATAAAAATTGATGTTCATGAAACTGATGTGTTTTGATTCTAAATCCTAACAAATCAAACCAAATCAAATATTTTGGATCGATTAAGAATTTTATCATGTATTTGAAATCCAGTTTTGCTATGGTGTTATATTTTATAGAAATGCAGTCATAAAGTAATGGGTAATGTTTAAATTACTAAAATTGAGAAATTAGTTGTAAGGATTGGACAATGGTAATGTTATTAATTATGTAATGACCCCTGCTCTTTAATGGGGATGTACAGTAAATATGAAATATATTTTCAGAAAATTGTTTTTTTCTTGTCAGATTTTTATAGACAAATTATTGCATCATGTTGATTAGGATATCAAAGTCTGTAGATCATGGTGATACATCGACTGTACAGTCCATGGGTTCCATGTCGGCCATATATGTCGGTCAAGACTGAGGGCTATGAAAAATGACCGAAACTAGATCTGACCATTTCGTTCCATTTGCACGCTGGAAAAATGGCACATTTTTGAAAAATGACAATTTCCAAACATGGCTAAGATCGACCTCTGCTATGTCACTATAAAAGTTTACGGCCTGTTCAGAATAATGCACACATATAGAAGCCACATTAGAATCTGATGATTGGTGTTATAGAGAGGTATACATAGTTGCAATAGATTATACCGAGTGTTGTGTTGATAATTAATGATGAGTGTCTGGTAGTAGAACAATATGAAATTTGCTCTTGCTAATTCATTTTCAGAAAATTAATTTAATTTTAACTTTTCAGATTTTTATAGGTTAACTATTGCATCATTTTGATTAGGATGTCGAAGTCTTTAGATTATGATAATAAACTTATCTTGGCACCAATGGTAAGAATCAACCACCTGCCAACACGGTTATTAGCACTAGAATATGGGGCTGATATTGTTTATTCTGAAGAAATAATTGATTTTAAAATTTTAACTTCAAGACGCAGAGAAAATGGTAAGTGTTATTGTTTTTAATGTTCTTCGTTTTGTATATATTGTTCTGTAAGTTTCAGGGGTGTTGGATGGTCAAATGGTTAGCACGCGCGCTGTATCATACGGTCTGTCATTGAGTCAACTGGCAGGGGTTTCGATTCCCCGGTTGTATGTGACATGGAGTAGGGTCGCCTGTCCAAACTCGTGGGTTTTCTCTGGGTCCTCCGGTTTCCTCCCACTGCTAAAGACCTCTACGCACAAGCGAATTATTGAAATAAAATTGAACCATGTGTTAGTACCGAAATGACTTGGTTTGTGTCGACTGGACGTTAAACCCCATTTCTCTCTCTCTCTCTCTCTGTAAGTTTCAATAGACCTTTTTGGTTTTCAGTGTATGTATAGTGTATGCTTGTCTTCATTAGCGACCTCATGGGTTTTCTCTGTTTTCCTCCCACAGCTAAAGACCACTACATGCAAGTGCATTATTTAAATAAAATTGAACCATATGTTTGTTTGTCCGGAAATGACCTAGTTTGTGTTGAGTGGATGTTAAACTCCATTTCTTTCTCTCTCTCATCTATTAATTAGCCCAGTCAGTGCTGAACAATAATACATTAGACCCCATTCCATTACAGAACAATAATACATTAGACCCCATTCCATTACAGAACAATAATACATTAGACCCCATTCCATTACAGAACAATAATACATTAGACCCCATTCCATTACAGAACAATAATACATTAGACCCCGTTGGCTAAGTGGGTAAGACGCTGGCTCGCTAGCCTGGAGGTCGGGTGTTTGATCCCTGCATTGGCAGAGAAAGTTCATCCAGATTTTCCGGCGTGGTTTCCCCTTGTCAGTGATGCAGGACGGAGGGCCTGACAAGGACAGCTGTCTAGTCGTTCGGGCAAAATTTGGGACGAAAAACCGAGGTCCCATGTACATACATGTATTGGCGTGCACGTAAAAGATCCCTTGGCAGTTGGAATTGGATATAAGAGTAGGCCGTAGCGCCGCTGCCCAGGAAAATTTCCCTCATAGCACACTGTATGGCATATGCCCGTCTTCATTAGCCCAGGTTAGGAGCAGAACAGTAGGACGTTAAACCCCATTTCATTTCATTTCCATTACAAATGCAGTAACAAATCTGCCCAAAAGCAATAGCCTACTTATCTGACACCCAATATGGACAAAAAAATGTCCCTTTTCCTCTTATTGACCTTTAAATAAGAGGTGTCTGGAAAAATAAATTTACTCATAGAATTCTCAGAATATAATAATGACATGAATTTACTTGTTTCACCTTGTAGAACTTTTTGAATGCCCGGACGACAAAAGTTATCATGTAATCTTTATGAAATTGATATCAGTGTCTTGTAAATGCTCCCATATCCTACAAAAGAACAAATATGTGACTGACAACACCCGTTGATCCCTTGGATGCTTTAGTTACTGTGGGTGTATGTTTTGTTGCCTGGCAACCTATCTTTCTTAGTGTGAAAGTTTTTATTCAATTGTTGATAAATTTTCATATTTATAGAGGAGGTTGGGTGTTCGATCCTTGCATTGACCAAGAAAGTTCATCAAGATTTTCCCTTGTCAGTGCTGCAGGACAAGAGGGCCTGAAAAGAACAGCTGTCTAGTCATTCGGATGGCACGAAAATCCTAGGTCCCGTGTTTACATTGATATGCACATAAAAGATTCCTTGGCAGTTGGAATTCAATATAAGAGTAGGCCATAGTGCTGTTGCCCGGGCAATATTTCCCTCATAGCACACTGTATGGTGTATGCCCATCTTCATTAGCCCAGTTGGAGTAGAACAGTAGGACGTTAAACCCCATTTCATTTCATTTATATTTGTAGAAATACTTGGTACTGTTGATTACGAGTTACCAGATGGAACGGTCATATTTAGAACATGTCCAAAAGAAGAAGGAAGACTTGTTTTTCAACTGGTATATAATTTTTTTTTAATATTTCATTCAAAATAAGTTTTTTTTAATGTTTCACAACCTATGGTGAGAATACTAACTCTAATTGTATTTTTTGTATATTATAGGGAACAGCTGATGCAAAGAGAGCCTTAAAAGCAGCACAAAAATTGTAAGTTATTTGAACAAGGGAGATGGATATGCTAGTGAAAATGAAAATTCCAAGTTTGTTTTTTTCTGTGTTGAAGCTGCTGATTCTGAATTCAATATACAAGAGTAGGCCATAACACCACTGTCCGCGCAAAATTTCACACATAGCACACTGTATGCATATGCCCATCTTCATTAGCTCAGTCTGAGCAGAATGGTAGAACGTTAAACAACATTTCATTTCTGTTCAGAGCAGAACAGTAGAAGGTTAACATTTCATTTGTATTGTTTTATAGAGAAAATGATATTACAGTTTTAGATGTTAATATGGGATGTCCACAACCATTTTCGTTACAGGTGAGTCACTATATAAAATTAACTTATACTTATATAATATCCAAATGATGTGTGATATTATATTTATATATCACCCAATAATACATTCTATAGTAGATATCGCTTGTGTGATAAATTTCATAACCTACTGCGATATCTCCTTAGGAGATATCGTTTCACATGAAACTACTTTTTTTTTTATTTTCAAAGAACAGTTCATTATTTATTCAAAATAACTTCTTTCTCATTAAAAAGGAACTATTTTTATTTAATTGACTTTCATGGAAACACTGGGTCAATATAAAGGACTTTGTGTTGATATTTTTTGACATCAAAAAAGATGAGTAGGAGATTTTATTTATCACCCAATCCCTTCTTACATGCACAAATCAATCAATATAATTCTTTGCTATAGATTTCACTTTTACTTTATTGACTTATATTGATATTTTTGTATATCAAAAAAGACTGGTAGGAGATTCTCTATTTATATATGTATATATTGTGACTGTTGTCTATTTGTTTGTCTATGTAACTTAATATTTCCAAACACTGATTGGTGATTAAACTTACTTGGACCCTTGCATCCTCGGTTTCCCCATGAATATGGTTATCTACCCTTAAAAATCGAACGTGAAACGAAGGCCATTTCTTTAGTAAAACTGGTTTGTAAACTGTTTTTTGATTGGTTGTAGACTTTAGCTACAATCAAGGCCAGGGCAGATAATTTGAAATCGTAGAAACCCAATGGATTAACCCAGAGTATAGTGGAGTAGAACGGATTGAGACCACTGGAGAAACCGAGAATGGTGCTCTCGTTGAAAAACACTAATTGCCAAATCTTTGAATGATAGTAGCAAGTTACATAATGTCTTTTTAATATTCAAGGGTGCCCCCCCCCCTAAAAAAGAACCCATGCAAATTTTATTAAATCATACAAAGGTCGAGCAAAGGTTGACCAAGGGGTAGACTATTGTTCCAATATTTCATGCACAAAGTCAACTTGTATACCCTCAAAAAGAATAGAAGAAAAATTAAAATTAACAGTTTTATTCAAAGACTTGTGTTTTCGGGGGGGGGGGGGGGGCACCTTGTATAATGTCTAAAAAAGAAATTTTTATTTTTTATTTTCCAGGGTGGTATGGGAGCAGCTTTATTAACAAAACCTGAAAAAGTTCATGATGTAAGTTCTATGAGATAGGTAACGATTTTACTTTGATAACCTGCTGTTTGATTGATCAATAAAAGGATAATAACCAATCTGTTTGAAGTTCAGATGGTAACGATACAATAGGATTATGATTAAATGACAATATTGGTGTCAGTCATTATCACAGGTGGTAACGATACAATAGGATTATGTTTAAAGGTTAATATTGGTGTCAGTCATTATCACAGATAGTAATGATACATTAGGATTATGGTTAAAGGACAATTTTGGTGTCAGTCATTATCACATATGGTAACGATATAATAGGATTAGGTTTAAAGGATAATATTGGTGTCAGTCATTATCACAAATGTGATAGAACTGGTTAACCACATTCAAAATATAATGTGATAGAACTGGTTAACCACATTTAAAATATAATTTTAACGCAGGCATCATTGCTGGCCGAATGGTTAGTATGTGCGCGCTGTATCATAAGGTCTGTCATTGAGTCGACTGGCGTGGTTTCGAATCCCCGGTTGTACATAACAAAGAGTAGGGTCGCCTGTGCAACCTCATGGGTTTTCTCCGGGTCATCCTATTTCCTCCCACTGCTAAAGACCTCTACGTGCAAGCGAATTATTGAAATAAAATTGAACCATATGTTCGTCCCGAAATGACCTAGTTTGTGTCAAGTGGATGTTAAACCCCATTTCTCTCTCTCTCTCATTCGTGCTCTTTATCTTTTATCATAAAAATAAATTTTGCTGTTGGGCAGTTGTCTGGTCTATCACATGTTAAGTAACATCTATTGTGTCTTAAGAAAACCATTCTGTACGGTTATTAGTGCTTTCAGAGTGCTTATGTTTTGTTTATCGTAGCCGAGACTATTACATGTATTATATTTTCAGATTTTAAGTACGTTAGTCAAAGGATTAAAAATTCCAGTTTCTTGTAAAATACGCATTCTCCCTAAGGTAAGGGTTAGATCATTATTTTAAGGAGAAACTATGAATAGGAAAATTAATCAATATCATGTTAACAGCTTTGTATGATATAGAATTGACCTTTCACGTAATTATTTTAAGCTGGGGATTTTATGTTATAGAAAATAGACCTCGTCATGAATGTGGCTGGACACAATGTTACCAATATAATGTATCTCTTAAGGGTGTTGAGTAGTCTAAGATACGCACTAACTTTTCAACACCAATCTTATTAAGACTTGTTCCATGTGTAAAATAACCCAGAGGACATATAACAGTCCGACCGTTAGTTGTGTAATAATAGAGATACAAACGGAAAGAAGGTTTCCCCGACCTAGATCAGTTCTTGAATAAATTATGATGTCATATACATCGTTGACATCATCCTCTGTAAACAATCATGGCCGTGTCCAGCAGTAGTTTCACACTGGACCATTCACGTCTATCTGGATATGACGTCAGAAAGAATTCCTTCTAAGACACGATTATCCAGGGTTACCATCTATTGCGATTGGAACGTGGCTGAATTTCATTTTTTGATGGTCGATGACGGCTATTTTTTAATGAATAAAATGATTTTTAGAGCGGCCGAGTAGTGCTCGAAGTAGATATTTAATTTTTACGTCTGAATTTTTGTATTTTAAAACTTTTTGTGGACATATTCAAGAGAGAGAGGGAGAAATGGGATTTAACGTCCACTCGACACAAACTAGGTCATTTCGGGACTAACATATGGTTTAATTTTATTTACATAATTCGCTTGCGCGTAGGGGTCTTTAGCAGTGGGAGGAAACCGGAGGACCCGGAGAAAACCCACAAGGTTGGACAGGCGACCCTACACCTTGCCACGTACAACCGGGGATTCGAAACCACGCCAGTCGACTAAATGACACACTTTATGATACAGCGCGCGCACGCTAACCATTCAGCCATCCAACCCCCCGGACATATTCAAAGAATTAACCCAAAATGACAAAATCCCGTTTGAAGGCAAATAATGAAGAACGATTTTAAAATACTTTGAGTTAATATTTTTTAACATTTTTTGGTGTCGATATCGATATCTCTTTTTAGCATGTACTAATAGAATTTCAAGAAAACTTATCATTTTTTTGCGTTTTCATGGATACCAGACAAACCACAGCCTATAGTCAAAAATTGACCAGTGGCTTTTTTGGACTTGCTATTAGCATTGTTCATGCCAAATTTAAAGAAAATCCATGCAGGCATAACTGAGAAAATTTGACTTTTATTGTCATCGGCACCCTTTATTATCATGCTTTTGGGCCAAGTTTGGAACATAGTTGGTAAATATAATTGGTATTTTTTGGGTGATTAATATGTAGTTTATCACCCAAAATAACAAAAAATGTCAAATCTTATCAACAAAAATTACAGTGCTGGCTTAAATATGTGCATTTTAGACTGCTCAACGCCCTTAACATTTCTTAAGATCCGACGTACACATACAAGAACGCTTGACAGTTGGAATTAGAGATAAGAGTAGGTCGTAGTGCAGCTGTCCAGGCAAAATGGCGTATGCCCACCCAGTCAGTGCATAAAAGTAGGATGTTAAACCTCATTTCGAATAATTACAGTTAGAAGATACTATAAAATTGGTTAAAGGGCCAATCCCGGTAATATTTTGGAGAATAAAACTGCTTAATTTTGTGTTAAAATTCCTTAACATCCCCTACCTAAGGGCCGAGCAATTAACTCAATATATGTGATACGTTTTCAAACAATTTAAACGCGAGAGTCTTAATCTGGAAATGGAGATCGGTGTCCCAAGCTGTATTATGCAGTGTCTGGATAAACCAGACATTTATTTTATAAAAATAACGTGTAGGTGAAATTTACCTTTCGTTATCAAGTACAGCACATGGGTCATTCACTGTATAGACCTCTAAAGGAACGGGAATCGATTATCAGGTCAACCAACGAAAACATTGATCCGAAATCTTAAAAAGGTTACGTGTGCGGATAAGCAGTTTTGACGTTCACGTCCAAACGACTCAAAATTTTGAGCTGAAATTTTGGGACAAGGTAAATACACCATCCCTCTATATTTTGGGGCATAAATTTTATACTTACTCTGATTTTTATTTTTGAGACGCTGTTCAAATTGGTATAGTCCTTTTAAATCAATAAAATATAACAATGTTACTGTTATAATTACAGTTAGAAGATACAATAAAACTAGTTAAACTAATCAAATTGTTACTGTTATAATTACAGTTAGAAGATACTATAAAACTGGTTAAACTAATAGAAAGTACTGGAGTATGTGCTATAGCTGTACATGGTAGAACTATAGATGAACGACCACGTCATGCAAACCAAAATCATATTATAAAAGCCATAAAACAGGCTGTTAAAATACCTGTTATTGCAAAGTAAGTTTAAAAGAAAGTGAGGGGCTGGTGGAAGGTCTGTCATTGAGTCAACTGCTGTGGTTTCGATTCCCCGTTTGTACGTGACAAGGAGTTTGGTCACCTGTTCAATCGCGTGGGTTTTCTCGGTTTCCTCTCCCACTGCTAAAGACCCCTACACGCAAGTGAATTATTGAACCATATGTTAGTCCCAAAATGGCATAGTTTGTGTCAAGTGGACGTTAAACCCAATTTCTCTCTCTCTCTATTCTGGCAAGTTTCATGCAAAACATTTGTCCGCCTTGGTGGAAGCAGACATTAACCCCGCTCTCTCTCTCTCTCTCTCTCTCTCTCTCTCTTTCTCAGGTTAAGATTACCTCAGTATCAACCCCTAATGACTTTACAGAAGGTTGATATGGGGAATAACCACCTTAAAACATGAATAGTTGCTATGGGAGATATAATGTGTGTAATGTTTGATATAGTTTGTGTTATGTTTGATATAATGTGTGTAATGTTTGATATATAAACCATAAACCATTTTTTTCTGAATGTTATTTTCAGTGGTGGTTCTAAAGAAATTCTATGTTATGAAGATATAGCTAAGTTTAAAGAAGAAACTGGTGCTGATTCTGTTATGATAGCTCGAGCTGCTGAATGGAATCCATCTATATTTAGAAAAGAAGGGAAATTACCTATTGTAGATGTCATCAAACAACATGTTAGATATGTACGTTTTCTTTAAACCATTCTTATCCTTAAAGATACGTTATGTAAGATTTAGATAAATAGCTAGCCATTCTTGTTATAATAGTTCAAAAATAGATAATGTAAAATGAATAATTTGAAAATTTCATTCAAATTACTCTATTGCGAACGAAGATATTAGCCTTTGAAGTTTTGACAAGACGTGTGTAATAATTTCAACCAATGTACTGGTTGTTTGAAGCTACATCTCTCTCCTCCATTTTTAGATTAAATCAAAATATGGCTGAACTGTTCTAATCTATTTAATATCGGAGAAATGTGATGCCTGGATAAGTCTAATTAATAATTTAGAAAACATTTCAGGCCTAAAGATTTAGCTCTTGCATAATGTATATTTAAACATGCATTATGCAAGAGCTAAATCTGCAAATATTGCAGGTCTTAATTAGACATTTATTAACAAAACAAGACCATAATCAACCATGGCATCTGATACTCGAGATTTTAACTAGATTAGAACGGTTCGCCATTTAAAAATTTAATTTAAAAATGGGAAAGCGAGGCTAAGTCTCAAATATACCAGTGCCCTGTTACCACAATGCACACGTCTTGTCAAAACTACAAACAGTGTAATTTGGCTCTTAATGAAGTAATTTGAATTAAATTTTCAATATTTTCATTTTACATTATCTAATTCTTACATAATGTATGTTTACTATTCTGTTTCACAGCTCTTGCAATTTGTTAAAACTATTCTTGTCCTGTTTAAAGGATTTTCCGGCGTGGTTCTCCCTTGTCAGTGATGCAGGACGAAGGGGCTGACAAGGAAAGCTGTCTAGTCGTTCGGATGGGACGAAAAACCGAGGTCCCGTGTACACATTGGCGTGCACGTAAAAGATCCCTTGGCAGTTGGAATTCGATATAAGAGTAGGCCGTAGTGCCGCTGTCCGGGCAAAATTTCCCTCATTAGCCCAGGTTAGAAGCAGAACAGTAGGACGTTAAACCCCATTTCATTTCATTTCATTTCTGTTTAAAGGAGCTAAATCTCTTAACTCAATATTTTTCATATTATTCGAATTTAAAAACACAAATTAAAATTGAATATTGATCAATTTCAATCAATATTGCTGTGAAACTTTAGAATCCTAATATCCAATATTTAAGACAGAATTAACATTTTATAATCAGAACATGTGTCGGGTACCCTAAGGTTTTGGATGCCATTTTGTAATGAACAATTAATTAGTAAAGGCTGATTCACAAACGACAAAATAATAAAATAAAAATCGTGTAAGCAGGCATAAGCGACTGCTGTTCACTTATTTGACCAAACATAATTGATTACAAATTTTATTTTTCAAAAATTGAATACAAATCACTTTATATACATTCATATTACATTAATATGTACTTTTAGAACCATTTTCGTCTATTTTAAATTAAGGTTTAAAAAAAATAGAGTTGTATGCCTTTTAAAACACAGCTCCTATTTCTTTTTTTTTTAAAGTAAAGTTCAATTTTTTTTACATTACTTGTCTTCACTACACCTGGATCTGGAAGAGTTGTTAAATAACCTACATTCTAAGGGATTAACCAATCAAATGGTCTGTTGAGTCAAGTTCTTGTCGTCTAGCATGCGGAACTATGGGTAGACATTTGCAGCGAGAGCAAACAAAGCAAAAGTTGTATTTCCCATTTGAAAGACCAGAGCTGATTGATTAATGCAATAGGGTCAAAAGCAGCTTGTATGACCCCTGATGTTACCTCCCACTACAACTGGCCAGTAGTGGAGGCCATTGAAAGTATAAAAAAACGAGACCAAATATAGATCTGTATTTTAATCAGATTGATCCAGTGTGATTATAATTCTGTGATTTTGTTTTTTCAGGCCTTAAAGTACGATATAAATGCTATCAGTGCCAAATACTGTATACTACAAATTATGCACACTTCAATGGACATGGCTGAAGGTCAACCAATGTTAGATTGTAAACATATGGTGGAAATCTGGTATGTAAAACCATGGTTCCATGTGACCAAAATATTGGCATTTACTTGGATGCCTCCTAGAGAGGGAGATAGAAAAATTGGGTTTAACATATGTTTCAATTTTATTTCAATAATTTGCTTGCACGTATGGGTTTTTACCAGTGGGAGGAGATATTTCGGCACGGTTTCCCCTTGTCAGTGGCGCAAGACGGAGGGCCTGGCAAGTACAGAGTCTAGTCATTCGGATAGGACAGAAAAACAAGGCCCTGTCTTCGTTAGCCCAATCAGTTTCATTTAAAACCATGTTTTAGCATGTGTCGATGTGTCCAAAATCTTGGCAAGGATAAACAAATCTGGTAATAATCAGAAAGTGTCACTTGAGAAATATTAGTAGTGTCCCTGTGGTTAATGAACTGCTATACATCAAAGATTCGGATTTCGGGAGCAACATATGGTTGAATTTTATTTCAATAATTCGCGTGCGTGTAGGGGTCTTTAGCAGTGGGAAGAAACTGGAGGACCCGGAGAAAACCCATGAGGTTGGACAGGCGACCCTACTTCTTGTCACGTACAACTGGGGAATCGAAGCCATGCCAGTTGACTCAATGACAGACCTTATCATACAACACCCACGCGCCAACCATTTGGCCATCCAACCCCCTACCCTCCCCTAGAGAAAGAGAGAGAGAGAGAAATGGGGTTTTACATCAGGTTCAATTTTATTTCAATAATTTGCTTGCGCATATGGGTTTTTACCAGTGGGAGGAAACCAGAGAACTCGGAGAAAACCCACAGGGTTAGGCAGGCAACCCTACTAAAGTACCTCAGGATATTCCGACACTGTTTGAACTTGTCGGTGGTGCAGGACGGATCGTCTGGCGATTACAGTGTCTAGTCAGTCACTGCCCAAAAAAGTTGGACGTTAACCCCCATTTAATTTCATTTAAAAATGGGGGTGTTGGGTGACGGAATGGTTAGGTCTGTCATTGAGTCAACTGACATGGTTTTGATTCCCTGGTTGTATGTGACAAGGAGTAGGGCCGTCTGTCCAACCTCACAGGTTTTCTCCAGGTCCTCCGGTTTCCTCCCACTGCTAAAGACCTCCCCTGATGACAATGAAAAATAAGGTTGAATGTGTTAACGACTTTCAGGTCATTTATTTTTCAGTGATATATGGAAAATGGAAGATGAATTTAAAGCAACTCAGGAATTACTAACGAAAAAGAGAGAGGAGGAAATGGAGGAAGAAAGTCATAGAAATAATATGGTGGCAAAAAGATTAAAATCGGAGGATGGATCAATTTTAATACGACTTCCTGTTAGATTTACTAAGTAAGACATTGAAATGAAATAAAATGTAATTAAATGGGGTTTAGCGTCCTACTGTTCTGCTCCGAACTGGCCTAATGAAGACATACACCATACAGTGTGCTATGAGGGAAATTTTGCCCAGACAGCGACACTGTGGCCTACTCTAATATCGAATTCCAACTGTCAAGGGATCTTTTACGTGCACAGCAATGTGTACATGGCACCTCGGTTTTTTGTACCATCCGAACGACTAGACAGCTGTCCCTGTCAGGCCCTCCGTCCTGCATCACTGACAAGGGAGAACCACGCTGGAAAATCTGGATGGAACACTGAAATGAAATGGGGTTTAACGTCCTACTGTTCGGCACTGACTGGGGTACGTCCTACACTTATATCGAATTTCTGCTGTCAAGGGTTCTTTTACGTGCACACCGATGTATACACTGGACCTTGGTTTATCGTACCATCCGAACAACTATTCATTGTCCCTTTGTCTAATCTAGATGCTATTCTATTAATGACATATTCAAACTAATATCTATCAAAAGTTTATTTAACATTAGCTCAAATCCCTCTCAAAACATTTTAATCTCAAGAAAACTACTCTATGCCACATGAATCTATTTTAAGAAGCCTTGTTTGTCACATGACTTGATTGAGGGAAAATCCATATTCACCTTGTATTGGTCGTAAAGCAATCCATTTATTATAAATTTCAACTTCTCTTTCTGCCATGTTGGAGTCGGGTTGTTCATTGCTTTTGTGCATCTGATTTGTTAAAAAAAAATTGTTATTTTTCTAGAGCCAACTACAGCAAGTTTTACTATTTTATTTGCAGTCCATGTTTTTATTTCTTTGTATACCGCTATATATTTAATATCATACATTTCTGTTCCATTATGTTCTATTTTTCTAGAGCCAACTATCCAACTGATATGTCACCAAAACAGCACTTACATGTTAGATGTATGAAAAACCATGAAAAGGCTCCACCATATAAAACCGTAAGATCAATAATTTAAAACTACACACACCACGAAAAGGCTCAACCATATAAAACTGTAAGATCAGTAATTTAAAACTACACACAGCAATGTACTCTATACTCAAACAGAGAGAATTGGGGTTTAACGCACACTCGACACAGACTAGGTCATTTCGGGACTAACATACAGATCATTTTTTTTTCACTTAAAAGCGGGGATTCGAAACCACACCAGTTGACTCAATGACAAATCTTCTGGTTTCAAGTGCACATGTTAAACCACAAGGTCACTGTATAAAGGGGCATAACTCCTGCACATTTTCCTCAAGACCATATTATCTCCCCTTAGGCCACAATGTAACCATCCAAGATAGTTGTTTTGTTTTTTGGGGGATCCTTGATTAAATGTTTGAAAATTGATTTCTCTCAATCCCCAAAAATAGTGTCAATGGCGTGAAAAGGGGGACATAACTCCTGCACATTTTCTGCAATACCATATTATCTCCCCTTACACCACAATGTAACCATCCAAGATAGTTACATTTTTTTTTTTACATTGGGGATGCTTGATTAAACGTTCGAAAATTGATTTCACTCAATCCCCCAAAAAGTGTCAATGGCGTCAAAAGGGGTTTTTCAGCCTATAATGTATCTACCGACTGCATTAGAAAATATCTTGATCAACCATGACAGCTGAAAAATATTTGTTTTATTAAAATATGTCACAATTCTACTCACAACATGTCAGTTGTCGGGACTAACAGAACTGTGACAAGACTGAATTCTGCATCTCACGGTTGCAATTCTGTCAATTTGGGATGTGGTTAGGACAAAATAATAAGGCCAGCTCAATTTTTCGTCAAAGGTCACGAAATGTAAACAGGGCTAGCGCTAATCTCAACCCTAACTCTAACCCTGGACCTAGCCCTAATTCTTACCCTAACCCTAACCTTTGGGATGTTCCAGACTGACAATCAGGCATCCCAATTGGATGCAAGAATTATTATTATTTAAAGATTAGAATAGGATCTACATTATGAAAACTTGGATAAATTATGTAAAGGGGCATAACTCTTGCACCTTTTCCCCCCAGCCCATGTTATCTCTCCTGTTAGACCACATAACCAGGAATTATATTTAAAGCTTAGAAAGCATCTTCTTATAATTTGTATGTTTTATTTGGGTTCTTTCAGATACAAAGAGAAAGTGATCGACGTTTCAATAGTGTTCTTACATTTCAAGGTAGAAAATATACAACTCCATATTGGTAAGTATTTATTTTAAGCTGGGTATAAGGCAATGTATAGTTCTAGTTCAAAAATACCGTCACATATTGGTAAGTATTTATTTTAAGCTTGGTATAAGGCAATGTATAGTTCTAGTTCAAAGATACCGTCACATATTGGTAAGTATTTATTTTAAGCTGGGTATAAGGCAATGTATAGTTCTAGTTCAAAGATACCGTCACATATTGGTAAGTATTTATTTTAAGCTGGGTATAAGGCAATGTATAGTTCTAGTTCAAAGATACCGTCACATATTGGTAAGTATTTATTTTAAGCTGGGTATAAGGCAATGTATAGTTCTAGTTCAAAGATACCGTCACATATTGGTAAGTATTTATTTTAAGCTGGGTATAAGGCAATGTAAGTTCCAGTTCAAAGATACCGTCACATTATTTATAGAGGTACGCATGACCAGGGATCTTTAATTTACAATGGGAGGAAATAAGGAGGACTTGGAGAAAACCCATGAGGTTGGACAGGCGACCTTACTCCTTGTCACGTACAATCTGGGAATCAAAACCACACCAGTCGACTTCATGACAGAGGTGATGGTCTAAAGTGCATGTGTTGGACCATTTGGCCACTCCCTGACCCTTGGCTTTAGGAAAGAATAGGTCATTAAAATATTTCCCAGGTGGGTGGGTTAAACTTGAATCAAGATTATCCTCTGGCTATTTTGGGGGGTTGGATGGCCGAATGGTTAGCACATGCGCATTGTATCATAAGCTCTGTCATTGAGTCAACTGGCGTGGTTTTGATTCCCCGGTTGTACGTGACAAGGAGTAGGGTTGCCTGTCCAACCTCGTGGGTTTTCTCTGGGTCCTCCAGCTTCCTCCCACTGCTAAAGACACCTTGAATTGAATCATGTGTTAGTCCCAAAATGACCTACTTTGTGTCAAGTGAACATTGAACCCCATTTCTCTCTCTCCTCTGGCTATTCGTTTGAAATTTTGCGACTGCTTCTAAAATATTTTCCTTAAGATTACATACTCTGATTTCTTTTTCCAGGGAAAAGTCGAAACAGTTAGCAGAACAAGGAGCAGCTATAGCGTGTTTAATATCTTTAGGACTGGATGACGGAAGAGTCAATAATATAGAAGCAGAAGACGATGAACTGCGACGAAAATGGAAAGAATTAGTTTCTGATCAAAATCATAATAGTGATATTAAAAATGACACTTGTAACGAAATTAAAAACAATTTAGAAAAGACCAATGACAGTTCTAAAAGCGTGAAACCTGAAACAGCTGAAAATGTGACATGATAGTTGCCAACACTATTTTTATACGCCCACATTGAAATGTGGTCGTATATTGTCGTCGCCCCCGTCCGTCCGGCAGTCCGGCGTCCACAATTGCTTATGGACGCTCTAGAGGCTAACGTTAATATCTGATCGACTTTAAATTTATACACAGTGTTTAAGGTCTTGAGACGAAGAAGCCTATTGATTTTCAGCAATTTCCGATAATTACTGCCAGAGTTATGGCCCTTGATCACTTTGAAAAATCTTGTGGCGCTCTAAAGGCTAAAGTTATCATCCGCTTGACTTCAGATTGATACACAGAGTTTAAGATCTTGAGACGAACAAGTATATTGAATTTCAATGAATTTTTTGACTTGAACAGTTAAATCCATGATATTAAAAGCTTTGTATACAAAATGTTAGCATGGGGCAGAACTTTATAAAAACCAAACAAATTCTAATAGTTTTCTGATAATTACTTCGTGAGTTGTTGCCCTTAATCAGATTTTAGTGTATTATAAATGTTTCATTACCGAAAAAAGTAAAAATATGCGACAACTCTTGTTGACTGCCCAGAAGATTTAGCTGCTGTGGGCGTATGTTTCGTTGCCTGGCAACCTATTTTTTAATTATGCAAAAGACAGTTTTATTGATAAATATGAGATTTTACCAACTAAAGAAGGAATATATATTAAATTATTTTAACCAGAAATAAAATGAAACGGGTTTTAATGTCTTACTCTTCTTCATCAAGCAGGCTATTTCAATCTGATTAAAATACAGATCTATATTTCGTTCCATTTTTTTATACTTTAGATGACCACCACTAAATGAAGATCAGACCGATTGTAGTGGAAGGTCGATCAGAGGTCATACGAGTGGCTTTTGACCTTATGATGTCAGACATTGATTAATCAATCAGTGTTGACGTTTCTAGTAGTTTACTTAAAGTTCTGTGCACCTCACACCAAAAACTCACTGTAACAGACCGTTACATTGGCTAATACCTCACATCATCCAGAACGCAGGTTGTATAACAACTCTTCCAGATCCTAGTATAGTAAAGACAAGTAAAACGAAATTTTGAACTATACTATTCAAAAAAAGTAGGGGATATTTGATTTTTAAGTGTTATTAAAGTCACCTAATGAAACTGACGAAGAAACAAATGACAAAATGAAATGAAGTTCACATTCATCGATTTATTCCAAATGATCTTTAGACTAAGTAAGGCACAGACTGACCATTATAAGGGTAAAATGATACCCGGGGTCAAACAGCAAAGTTACCACAGCATCACAACCAAGTCAGTAACGGGTAAATCCTCCTCTGTTTGCCAAACAAGCATTGATCCGACGTGGCATACTCCTAATGAGACGTCTAAGGTCATTTTGGTCCAGATTGTCCCATTCCTGTTGCAACGCAGCAGCAAGTTCTTGGACATTGGCAGGACGTTGTTGACGTTGACGTAACCTCTGTCCAAGCATGTCCCAGACATGCTCGATGGGGGAGAGGTCGGGACTCAGTGCTGGCCAAGGTAATGTGGTGATGTTCTGTTGTTGGAGGTAACCTGTAACGATCCTGGCCCTGTGACATCTTGCGTTGTCATCCTGGAAGAAACGGCGGCCATGACGTCGTGCGAACGGCACAACATGGACTGCCAAGATGTTGTCCCGGTAGTACTGGCCTGTAACACGCCCTGCAACAACATGTAAAGCCGTTCTTCCAGCAACAGTGATGCCTCCCCACACCATAACAGAACCACCCCCAAATCGATCATGTCTGATGACGTTAACGTCTTGGAAGCGCTCGTTTCAACGACGCCACACCCTCCTACGTCTGTCCAAAAAATCAACAGTGAACCTTGACTCATCTGAAAACATCACATTGCTCCAGCGTCGATTATCCCAGTGTTGACGATCCCTACACCAACTACGTCTTGCCTGAATGTGATGATCTCTCAAACAAGGGATCACCCGAGGACGTCGGGCGCGAAGGTGACCCCTATGCAGTCGATTCCGAATCGTCTGGCCACTCACTCTCACACCAGTGTCTGTTTGAAGACGAGCGCTGATCTGATTTGCTGTGATGACAGATTGTGTATCACGGTATCTGGACCATAGCCTGCTTATGACAGACTGAGAAACATTCATCGTCCGCGCCACAACCGCCTGTGTTGTGCCAATCTGTAGCATGCCAAGGACACGTAACCTTTCATTTTGGGTAAGCCGACGCATATCAAAATTTGTTTTCTGGTCACTAAAACAATTAAACTGATGTTTCCACCCTGGAATTCAATGCCACAATGACTGTAACATTCAAAGTCAGAGTCGTGCAAATCTTGGGTTGGACCCCCATGATGATCCCAAACATCACCTGCATTCCATGCGGTAGCTATTGGTGTGTTTGGGAGTCACATGTAACTGGAAATGTTTCTTCTGTTAGGTTCTATAGTGACTTTTTTCGTAGTCATTTGCATATTTTAGTATTATGCCCCCAAAATCAAATATCCCCTACTTTTTTTGAATAGTATATAAAAAATGGAACGACTAAGACCGATGCTGGTTTATTGTGTGTGTTTTTTTATATGAATATTTTTCATTACACCCTTCCATACATGTAATACAAAATTATTTCATAGGGTTTAACGTCCATTTGACACAATCTATGACATTTTGGGACTAACATCAGGGAACAAAATAACCAGGTTCGCATCGCACTTTGCAACCCATTTCCGACGTTCCTGCGAGTCAATTAGCAAAATTTTAGTTGGGAATCTAAAAAGTCGGAATCATTTTTTTATCAGATATAATACCATTTATTTTATCTTTTAGTGCCTCAAAATTCAATTGACAATAAAAAGAAACCTTTCATGGTTACTCGAAAACGTGAACCTACCCTTTTCATTGTACATTTCACAACATGACGTTCATTTCAGGAGACTGTAGGACGTTAAACCCCATTTCATTTCATTTCAGGAGTCGGTCTGTTTTTGGTTGTGCTTATCCAGAGACAAAAAATGTATGGAAAACGTGACTACTATCTTGCATGTCTTCACTCTTCTCTCTAATGGGGATTTTCCGACGTGGTTTCCCCTTGACAGTGGTGCAGAACGGAGGGCCTGACAAGGACAGCTGTCTAGTCCTTCGGATGAGACGAAAAACCAAGGTCCCGTGTATACATTGGAATGCACGTAAAAGATCCCTTGGCAGTTGAAATTCGATATAAGAGTAGGCGATAGTGCCGCCGCCTGGGCAAAATTTCCTTCATAGCACACTGTATGGCATATGCCCGTCTTCATTAGCCCAGTATAGGAGCAGAACAGTAGGACGTTAAACCCCATTTCATTTCATTTATCTAATGGGGGGTTGGATGGCCGAATGGTTAGCACGTGCGCGCTGTATCATAAGGCCTGTCATTGAGTCAACTGGCGTGGTTTTGAATCCCCGGTTGTACGTGACAAGGAGTAGGGTCGCCTGTCCAAACTCGTGGGTTTTTCTCCGGGTCCTCCGGTTTCCTCCCACTGCTAAAGACCCCTACCCCCTACGCGCAAGCGAATTATTGAAATAAAATTAAACCATATGTTAGTCCTGAAGAGATCTAGTTTGTGTGGAGTGAACGTTAGGCCCCATTTTTCTCTCTCTCTCTCTCTCTCTCTCTCTCTCATATTAATCATAAATTAAAACAAAATTTATCATTTACTTTTCAAAAACCCTTAAAAAATTTTTTTTATCATAGCTTGTTTCCTTCCCCCATTTCATGTGGAGGGTTGGATGGCTGAATGGTTAACATGTGTCAATATATCATAAGATATGAGTTAACTGTGTCAGTCTCGAAATGACCTAGTTTGTGTCAGTGGACCTTAAACCCCATCTCTCTCTCTCTCTCTTTTCTCTCTAATGCTTAGTCTGATTGTAATATTCATGATTTTTGATGAATGAATAGGGCTTTAATGCATTTTTAATTAATTACGTGTGATTTTACTCTCATAACAGCTATATATAACCAAGGTGTACAAAATTACAGCAAGATTATTCAGACCACGTGACATCAACATGAATCGTCTTCAGTTGGAATTCGATTAGCAATACAATTCATGCCATGCGAGATCAGTAACTTACAAATTATGCACAAAATATGAAAGAAAAGAAATAATATTTTCCAAAATGACAATAACCCCCCAAATTGCATAACCATGGCTACCATAATGTAAATGGGCTATCAAGGCAAACAGAAAGTAAACTGTTACATTTAATTAATATTAAGTATTTATAATAGATTGTAACTGCACCTCAAATGACCAAAACGGCTAATCAAAGTTAATTTGATTAGCAAAAATTTATTAAAACTGCTAACCAATTGTCGGCAGTTATTTTGTTCCCTGAGTAACATATGGTTCAGTTTTATTGAATAATTAGCTGGTGTGTTCTGGTCTTTAGTAGTTAGGGGCAACTGGAGGACCCAGACAGAATCCACAAGCTGATACAAACTTGGGGGGGGGGGGGGGTTATTAAGTTAAAAACCTGTTAAAAAGGTTTAAATAGTAAAGATTTGCCGCTGTTTATGTCGAAATTCCGTAAATGTTGATGTTGAAATGAAATGAAATGAAATGGGGTTTATCGTCCTACTGTTCTTTACCAGCACCTCCCAAGAATTATCCACCCCCACCCCCATCACCACGGGAAACTCCCTGTACGTCTCTCGGTAGTACATTACCCCCCCTCTCTCTCTCTCTCTCCCTCTCTCTCTCTCCCTCTCTCTCTCTCTCTCTCTCTCTGCTCCCAGGACTTAACTAGGGTATCTGTAAAGTACAGACATATACCCACTCACTGTGCATCAGATCAATATTTATCCCAATAATGAAGAGATCGTATCCTTTTAAAACTTGTAGATTAAACATAGAACTTCGATTGTTTTTAGAAGAGTGATTCGGTGATTGCCTAACCTTGTGTAAGGTGTGTATCACGTGATTGAAATAATATTGAGTTAAAGATTAACTGTATCTTTCTTTCTCTCACAATTATTTGATGTGTTTACTTTGGATATAATACAATTTACTCAAAGCCACACCCAAACACCTGTAAAAAAAATGCATTACCTCAGATTATCAAAGAATATATATATATATATCTAGAGAAAGCTTTTTGATATCCAAACTTTTCTCATTTTTAAACATGTATTATGCAAGAGGTAAATTGAATCACTAATATCTCAGTTCAGAGAGAAGCAATTTGACTAAAATTTTCTGCATATTCTGTTTTCATTATTTATTGTTTAATTATTATAGCGAGAACTGTCAACTCTTTATCTAATCTTACCTAAAATGAAATGAAATGAAATGGAGTTTAACGTCCTACTGTTCTGCTCCTAACCTGGGCTAATGAAGACGGGCATACGCCATACAGTGTGCTACGAGGGAAATTTTGCCCGGACAGCGGCACTACGGCCTACTCTTATATCGAATTCCAACTGCCAAGGGATAATCTTACCTAATGTATCTTTAAACATACATTATGCAAGAGCTAAATCTGCCTATTGCAGATCTTTCTTTAGGCCTGAAATATTATCTATATTATTGATTAGACATTAATTAACTTTTACAGACCATGATCAGTTCTCGATGCCATCTTATCTGACAGATTTTCATTGGATTTGAATCTGATCTGCTGTTCAATGCTCATTGATGATTTAATCCAAAAATGGATAATCAAGACTTTGTTAATTATCGTGACAGCGCTAACAATGACAATTGAGGCTACAAAGATTTTAAAATAAGGT